TGGTCCACTCGCTGATATGGTCCACTCGCTGATATGGTCCACTCGCTGATAACGCACGTTAAGGGTAGTAAATATTAATTCTTAATTATAATATTATTAACTTATCGATAATCTATATATAGTCTAAGTTTCTTATTCTTCTTTAATATAAATAAGATTAAAAATCTTATAAATAAGGTTAATAATTAAATATATCCTTTTCTTTTATTTTCTATAAGATATTTATCGAAAGCTTTTATTTTTTTTTCGTTAAGTAAATATATCTTATAAAGATAAGGTTCGCTTTTAAGCTTTAAGGGTATTTTATAATCCTATCGACTATATTCTAAAAGTCTTATTTCTAGCTTATCGCTAAATAATTTATTATACTATTAATATTCCTTAGGAATCTATTTAAATTATATTAACTTAAGCTCCTTAATAATTATATATATCTTAAGGGCCTTTTTCGATTTATTTAAAGGGGTATCTTATAGTTTAGAGTTAACTTACTTCTTAATAATTAAAACGCTTCTTAATATATCTTATTAAAGGTAGCTTATTCTTTAATTAACTTTAAGATTACTTACCTATAATTAAGGTATCTTTAATATAATATTATTTAAGATATCTATAATATCGAGTATTAAGTTATATCGCTTCTTATAGATCTAAGTTAAGAAGTATATAGTCTCTATATTAACCTATCCTTATATATAGCTAACTATCGTTCTTTCGATACTTTTAAATTAATAAGGCTTATCTTTCTATTTCTAAGGTAATTATAATTTATTAATAAGATTTAGCGAGATAAAGTTTCTTTATACTTTATTATTTAATATTACCTTAATATTTCATCCCTTAAGTATTATAGGTAAGAGTATATATTTATAATTTTAGGTAATTATATTTATAAAGAACCTTTAGTTAGCTATAAGTAATAGTCCCTTTATTACCTAGCTATTTTATTTTTTAATTATTTAAAGGGGGGTCTATATAGATATAGAGTAATATTAATCCTTTAAGTAAAGGGTATAATTATAGAAGTTATTACTTTAAGCGTAGATATAGTTAATAATCTAGGCATTATATAACTATTTATAAGTTATAATATAGTATTAATACCTTACGATTATCCCTTATTGAAATATCTACGATACTCTTAGTTAAATATATCTCTTATATCTATAGGTATAAATATATTAATTATTATTAATAGCTAATAATATAGTATTATTATATTATTATCTTTTTTAACTAATAGTTAGTATTCTAGATAATTACTTATATAATATATATATAGATTTAGTTATACTCTATAAGGTTAGGTTAGTATCTATTTATACTCTAACTTATCTTAAAGGTACTTAAAGTATATAGGATAGATATAATAAAGCTAAAGTATATATCGATAGCTCGGATCATTAAGGTATACCTTAAGGGCTGTCTCTTATACACATCTAGATGTGTATAAGAGACAGGGTATACCTTAAGGGTATCCTTTATTATTAATAAAATATAATATTTAGGATTTTATTTAGCTTAAAGGATTAAGATTAAGAGTTTTAAAGTAATAATATCTTATCTATATCCTATAATAGGTAAGGGTATTACTTTTCTATCTAAACTTTCTAAAGAGTCTAAGGTATCTTTATCGTTATTATTACTAAATTCTTAATATTATAGTAATAAAATCTTATAATATTTAGGTCGCTTATATAATTATATTAAGTATTCTTAATCTTCTTCTTAGTTTTCGTTATATAAGCCTTACGTTAGCCTTAAGGTTATAAGACTAAGACTTTATATATCTTAAAGGAGTTTATAAAGTCCTTTAACTTAATAGGGTATAGCTATATATATTATAGATTATATATAAGTAATATTTTTAGGGTTTTAATATAACGTTAACTATTAATAAGTCCTATTAAGGATTTATTTATAGGCCTATTATATTACCGAAATATTTTATTCTTAAGGCTTCTAAGGGTATTAACTTAAACCTTACTTATTAAATAAGTAGATCTAATATATATTATTATAATATCCTAAAAAGTATAGTAGCTCGTATTAAATAAGTTCCTCCTATATAGCTATTTAAGCTTACTTATTTAAGATTAGTTTTTAGTTTAACTTTTTCTTTTAATTATATTTATTTACGAAATATCCTAGTTTCTTATAGTTATAATAAGTCTTCTTTTAGTCTTTCTTTACTATATAAATATCGAGGTCTATAAGTCTTAAATAAGTTCTATATACTATAAAGTAATATCGATAAGGTCTCCTTTAATTAACTTATAAACTTTAAACTTTAATATTTCGTCTACCTTTATTACCTCGCTTTAATTAACGCTAATAATTATAATTATCGATTTTAATTACTATTTCTATATATTTATTAAACTTATTAAGCTTATCGACTTTATTAAGCTTATCTTTTATATCTTCTTAAAGTTTATTATAGAAATATTCTATAAAGGTATTATCTTTAAGGTCGAGCTTTAAAGAGAGTTATCTAAACTCTTAGTTATAATATATAGTTAATCTAGTTTATTAAAGGTTCTTTAATTATCTTATAGTAGTTCTAGCTTTATTTAAGTCTTTAAAAGCGGTTTTTAAGGCATTCTTAAAGTTATTATAGCTCTAAAAGATAGTATTAATTCCTTTATCTCTATCGGCCTCTCCTTTATAGTTAAGGTAGTCCTTAAGAGTAAGTTCTTATTATTTAAAGGCTTTTCTTATAAAGAGGTTATCGATATAAAGGATCTATAGAATAGGTCCTTTAATAGAAGTATTAATATAAAGGTAAGCTTTAACTTAAGTTAAGAAAAAGCGAATGCTCCTTTTTTAATTATCGAAAGGCTTAAGCTTTAGGAATTTAAGTATTTTTCTTATTATTATTAATTATTATATTTAAGCTATAAATTAATTAATCTCGGCCTTTAAGTAAGTAATAGCTCGCTTTAAGTTAGAGGTCGATTTACTTATAGTAAATATATTATTTATTAATTATTAAAAGTAACTTACTGAATAAAAGTAATTAAAATATAATACAGCTTAAATAAGGTCTTAAGGTTTATTATTACTTAAGAGGTAAGCTAGGTTTAATAAGTAATAAATAATTTATAAGAGTCCGTTAAAAAGCTTTAAAGACTTCTTATTTAGATAAATACTTAGATTAATTACTAAAGATCTAGCTATCTACTCTTAGGTAAAGACTATAATATATATATCTATCTAGCTCTTTATTAATCTTTACTTAATTACTTAGATTACCGTAATCCTTATAAGCCTAGCTTACCTAGATTACTATACTCTTTATAATCCTTAGGTATATATATTTAATTACGTAACCTTTCTTAACCTTTTTTAGGGTTCTGCCTATTATATATACGATAGGGGTCTTACTAGCTTCCCTTTAGTCTATTCGTTAGGCGGCCTGCCTTACGGCCGTCCTTAGTTTATAATATAGGGATGGCTTCGCGCTCGAGTGTCGCGCCATCAAACAGCTACGCGACGAAATGGGATTTATGAATGCCGTCGTTATGATCCCTTTTTGCCGCACCATTGTCGAAGCTACGAAGGTCCTGGAGGTCATGGAGGAAAACGGGCTCAAGCGCGGTGACAAAGGTCTCAAGGTCTACGTCATGTGCGAAGTCCCGTCCAATGTGATCCTAGCCGCGCAATTTGCAGAGCACTTCGACGGCTTCTCCATTGGGTCCAACGATCTAACACAGCTGACTCTTGGCGTTGATCGCGACTCTGGAGAGCTGGCAGATCTGTTCAATGAGCAGGACGAGGCGGTGAAGTGGATGATCCGGGAAGCTATTTCGGTTGCCCATGAGAAGGGCTGCAAAGTTGGCATTTGCGGACAGGCACCGAGCGACCAACCAGAGTTCGCCAGGTTCCTGGTCAGTTGCGGTATTGACTCAATATCCGTCAGTCCGGACAGCTATGTTGCTGTGAAGAACCATGTGGCTGCGAGCGAGCAGCTGCACGTATCTCGCGGGGCGGTACTTTGACGGCCTTCAGTTACTAGTCAGGGCGGTGGTACAGCAGTGTCGAATCAACGCCTGCCTTGTTCAAGTTTGTCGCTTGATGGATACAGGCATTCACCCGGAGCACACTATTCTGAAATGAATTGATGACGTTAACGACCTCCCTACAAGACGCGGTGGGGCCCGATCTTTGAGGCCCGATCTAAGGGCTGCCGTACCGGCACGGGTTGAAGTAGCATTTATGTGTTTACTAACCCTATTGATAGCAGCGCCGACACCGCGCCAGGGATTTCACTTTAGCAAGTGCCAGCAGACTCTAAAGGCAGAGTATCTTGCAGTAACACTGTAAGCAACGATGACGATATGACGTTATGTAGCGCTTGCTCGTCGGAGACAACTAACGTTTTCAGTCTTATCAATCGCCCGGACTGTTACAGGGTTGGATCACAGGGTGGGTCTCTGCAAGCACAAGTCATTCGCCCTTGGCGCCGTGGCCGAATACGCGGAAACTAATTTAGCCCGGGGTCGCAACGTCCTACCCCTGTCACCATCAGACCAGGCATGTGGATCTTTCTTGGCGAACCGCGTGCCTTCGCTGACTGGTAGCGCCTGATGCCGATCCAGTAAAACAATCCTGGGTGCACAACACTCCATCAGTCTTGTTCGTTGCGTCACGCCCACCGACACGTATTTTCAGACCTACGTTATTGGAACTTTTTGTTCACACTAGGAAGATAGGAGATTTATTGACACACACACTTATTACACATTGAGGTTCTGGCCGGCCATAAGCAACCATCCGCCTTAGAGGCATCGAACGTATTTATTGCCTATGTGTCTCCCATCGCTTTACTCGGGTGGCAGAAGTCAAGCTTTCCTCAGCTCATGTTTCTGAGAAAGCGCTGCATCGCACCTATCTTTACCCTTGCACGCCCTGGACCCTGCTGATAGAGTCAGCACTAATGATTGGGGCACGTACTGGGGTCGCAAGGGCACGATCCTGGTATCCGTCATGCCGTCATAATCGAGATCTTCCCTAGTCATCGCTTCTTGGAGCGGTGGGATATCAAGGTGTTGGTGGCGCGATGGACTTCGTGGGGCCGCAAGAGTGTATGGTTGGAGGGCAGGTATTGCCTTGTCCAAGAGGGTCGATAGAGCTAAGATGAGCAGCGTCATTGCTCTCAGCTTTCAAGCATACATGGTGCAAAGTTGCAAATTGTGGCCTCTGCAGGAAGCAAGTAGAAATGCCAGAAAGTCTAGTGACACTGTGTTGGCACACCCTATGCAAACCCTGAATATCGTGCTGCGACTAATGCGCTACAAGAGTACTTCAATTCTTCGACCTCGGCTGGTGAACATGTCAGCCATCGCCAGGGCCCAGGATATTGCATATAGCATTGGAACATTAGGAGGTCTGGAATTCTGGTAGAACTCTGTCGTGATCTGGGCTCGACCGGGCTGCAGTTACAGTTACAATTGTTCCTGTTGTTGAACGATGCTGTTGACATGAGACCACAAACCTCCCGGGAGAGTCGCGCCGCGCGCGGGCAGGACCAGCACCCAACACATACTGTGATCCATGTCATGCTTCTGTCTCAAGCCTGGTTGCCGTCAAAGTGCAGGTCCGCAAGTCACCCTGCAGCTAGTTCTGTGACGTTAGTCATTACGGACCTCATTGCTAGCCCCCGCCGCACTGAAACAGGGCTCAGCATGCTCAGCTGTCAGCTGGGTACGCGTATCGTCCCCTGCCAAGATGATCCTCTCAAATGCGGGTAGAGTGTCGCGCTAGGTCTCTACGTCTGTTAGCCATGACGTTTGATCTACAGCCGACGTCATCACGCCCTTGTCTCATCAAGGGGCACCACGACTTGTCTGATCAAATTAGCAAGCACTTGAAAGAGCTGACAGGTTGACGAAATATAAAGTTAGTCAATGGACCTGGAGCTTCTCTTTGATTTGCCAAGGTACTCAATTTCCCTTCTCAAAAACATTGGAGCACTCAGCTTCATCGGCCACGCCTAGATCGTCGTCCACCCTTAGACACAAGCAGTTCCATCACCATGGCCTACTGCAAAGCAGTTGCTACCGAAGGCACGAATTGGACATTTTGTCCATCAATGGCTGCTTCGATACTCTTCACGCTCTTATTTGTGGCCACAACCGCGATTCACGTCATTCAGGCGCTCTACCACAGGACATGGTACTGCTGGGTCATCATTGTCTCTGGTCTACTGCAGACCATCACATATCTGTGCCGCGACCTGAGCATCAAATACCCGGCCAATGAAACGTACTACGTCTTGTGGTTTGTACTAATTCTCATTGCCTCGGTATGGACCAACGCTTTTGTCTACATGGTATTCGGACGTCTAGTATGGCGATTCAAATACGACCGGAGTGTCCTTGGGTTGAGGGCATGGCACTACGGTTTGGTCTTCGTGATCTTCGATATTTTTGCCTTCATCGTTCAAATTGCTGGTGCAGCACAAGCGGCAGGTAATGACGTGCCAGAAGACAAGGTTATGCGAGGTCTGCACATTTACATGGGTGGAGTCGGCATCCAGCAACTCTTCATCCTCGGCTTTTGTGTGGCTGTCTTTGTGTTTTGGAGAGACTTCCGCCGTCAGGAAGCCAAATCAATTCCTCCTCACGTGCTCGGACTTGTCTACACGCTTGTTGCTGTACTAATTCTTGTCACTGTGAGTAGCAATAAGGATGATGTTAGAGGATCGTGTCTAATGTGTCTAGATTCGAATCATTTTCCGTCTGATTGAGTATGCCAACGGATTAGAGAGCAGTATTCCGGAGCATGAGGTATATCAGTACGCGCTCGATTCATTGCCGATGTTGATAGCCTTGGTTCTGTTTAACATTGTTCACCCTGGCCGCGTCATGCCTGCTCATGAAACGAAGATTCCGTCATTCCCGGAGCGAAGGCGACAGAAACGCGAGGGGGTCAATATTCAGCTAAACCCACACTTTGCTTCGACTAGTGTGTAGCCGGTGGTATTACGATTAGCCCCTGCGGCGGGCAAAATCGGGCTCTTCTAGTGGGCAGATCTGCGGTTTAACGTAGCCGAGGCGTTTTGAGTTACGTTACTGTGCGTTCGTGCAAGCTCGAAAGGCATGGGTTTCTAATTTAAAGTAATAATATGAAATATAAGTCTCAGCAAAGGTTATGTGATCTGCCGACTGATGCGTTCGTCTTGAGGGCGTGGCTCGCTCATACCCAACATTCACTTCATGTTGCAATCCAACCTCGCGATCTGCGGGGCCGATCGCAGAGCTGCAATCAGACCCGCTCATGGGGCTCTGTTGTGGGTCGCGGCTGGCTTCTTGCAACTCGAATGGCCCGGGAATAAAGGCATACCGTGTGAGGACAATCAGAGTGTCTCGGCGCAAAGTGGAAAGTACTGATGCCAACAAGTAACGGCAGAAGTAGCTGACACGCAGAAGTCCGGAGCTCCCCGGCCTCCTGTTCCGGGGACTCTCTCCTGAAATAAGAGATCGAAGGTGTGCATTGCGCTCTTTGTTAGGGGCTCTGCTTTGCTATTCAGAGGTGATACTGTACAACAAACCACATACTGGAAGCCCTGGCTAGCTCCTCCCCGTCCTCGTCGCGAATGTTACACTTAATTCGCATCTTTCGGCCGTCAATTGAGTCAATCCAAGCCGTCGCCAAGACCACGCGTCCAGTGAGGATGGCCCGTATAAACTTCACTTCCATCGATCCAGTGACGCTGCCAGCTTCAAATATTGCACCTCGCTTGTTCAAGACCGTGTTGATCTCAAGCAGCACGTTACAGGCCTCGTCCAGCATGGTCATGATCATACCACCGTGTACCATTGAGCCCACGCCCCCGAGACCCTCACCAAGAGCGTAAAGCGTCTGAACCTCCTTGAGTGGTCTTGAAGGATCTTGAAGCACAACTCGGTCGTCGGCTTTCAAATAGCACAGCATATGTTCGAGCGTGCGGTCTGTGGCAAGAACGATGCTCAAGAATTGATCGCGATGATCGGACGCAGGGTTGCGGCTGCTTGGCAGGAAGCAATGCGTGTTGGGACCCCGCAGTACCTCCACGACCCATGGAAGCGATTTGAAGTACTTTAATGCGCCATCATACCGCTGGACCAGAGAATCCGTTGGAATGAGGTTCAGGGTCGGACCGTAGGTGCGGTTGAGAGGCTCGTTCGTCTCGCCGTCCGACATCCTGAGATCTGTGCACCGAAAATTTGAAGTTCTAGAATACGGATGAAGATTGACCGTAGAGCATGCAATGTCAATGAGGTCATGGCAAAGTGATTTAAATACTAACTTGCGGGCGGCGGGTAACAACTAACACATAACTAGCGCTTACTATTGTGGCGCAGCCCTTACTTCCCGGGAATTCACTCCCTCGAGCGTTTGTTAAAATGCCGCTTTCGGCAGATCCCGAGTGTTAGAATTTTACAGTCGGAGAGGCTAATTTCTGGTTGACAAACGTCGCTGCAGCAATGTCGTATCGTGATGGGTAAGTGAGATGAACACCAACATTTGCCCCTTGGGCGCAGTATGGATCGCCGCGATCACAATAGGACGCCATTGAATTGGAGAAGCGGTCGCACGACTGTGCCGGTGGGCGCCCATAGATCTTCGGAGTATCTTAAGTCAGCATCAAATTCAAGAGTTTCCATCGGATGGGACATATTCTTACCCCATTCATCGTTGCAGTCCCCTTATCAAATGGTTTCCCAGCAACATTTCTTGGGTCACCGTACCAGACTATGGCAGTGACTGTAACAAATGTCAGCTAAGAAGTAAACATCATAGTGAATTTGGCTCCTAACCATGGTCGCTGATGTTACGGTCCATCGGGGGAGTAACTGGCCCTGCCCCAGCTGCATCACCGCCGCAAAGAGCATCTCCAATAATCTGGGCACCCTGAGAGTAACCCAGAAGAACGACCATGGAGTTCGGGCAGCGCCGCACATAAGCAGTCAGTTGGTTAAGAACCGCTGCGGTTCCGGCTCTGACGGAGGTGGAGTAGGGATTCAGAAGCGCAGGATAGTCTATTGCCTCCTGGGTGGCGCCTTGGTGTGCTCGAATGATCCGTGCAGCCAACGAGCCCAGCTGGCCATCACCAGGAGGCTCTGTGCTTCCACGAGCGACAAGAAGGTGAATTTGGGCACAGGATTCTTGTCTGTCCTCGAGAGCGTCACCGCCCATTGAAATAGCCTGAGCCAGGGACGCAATGAGGGCGCAAGTTATAAGAGCCTTGAGGCAACCCATGTTCAGATAAGTAGATGGAATACAGCAGATGAGGACTGAATAGATAGTGAAGCAGCGGAAGTGCCCAGGTATACCATAATCTTCCAGAGCATGGTGGGGCTTTATATAATTGCCAAGTCGGCATCTTTCATCGTTCTGGAGTGCGAAGAAATGCCAATACATCTAGCTTTCCCCGCATCTCCGCAATCCTACGCATGCACCCCACGATTCATATCGTACATAGCACGGGGTATTAGGAAACATTGCGAATGCCGAAGCCACAAAGCCTGGGATAGAGGCACAGGCAGTCCCGTTCTCGGTTGATTTATGACTTCATGCCAACCGAGAATGTCCCTTCGGCGATTGGCCTGGGTCCCTTGACGGCCTCCCGACATCAGGCACATTTTCTAGATTGGTTTGAGGATTGAGCCGACGATTATAGCTCGGGTGCAGTCAGGTCGCAGTGAAGCTAGGGCTTTCCTTGCTCAATGGTGTTAAGCGGGGATTCCGTACCCTGCCGCAACCTGCCCGTCTTACGCTGTCAGCCATGTTTCGGCTCATGTGGGAGGCGTCACGTAAGTCGAATTAGCGACGCAGCAATTGCGAGAGAGCCACCAGGCATGGTTTTGCATCAGAGACACGGGTACTCCGAACTTATGTAAGTCCGCATTCGTTTCGCGGAGGGAATTTAGCCAATTTTGGTCGTAGGGACGACCCCGACCCTCGTTATGTACACTGAGCACTCGGTCCTTGGCTATGGAACGCGAGCACTGCATGGCGTTAAGAACCGTAGACATTCCTGACGCTAACACAAAGTTCCCAAACATAGTGTCCAGAGCTCAGAGCATGGTAACTGTCTTGTACTATTCTTGTAAATGACTTTCACCGGATAAGGTTATCGACGAGTATTCTGTGAACCACGGCGTCACTGACGACGCAGTTCTGGTGTTCGTCAACACGGTAAGGCCGTCGCAAGAACCTTAGCACTATATTTCTAATAAGCTATCAATCATCGGTTTGGCTGCTAAACTGAATCAAAGCCAAAAATGCAAACAAAGACGTAGCGGGCGTCGTGGCTTAGTGCACGAAAAACCGGAATAGGTAAACTTCGTAAACTTGCCATCTCTACGGAGTATCATGTATACGAATCCACGATGTGGGGCTGCCAGGATAATACGTACAATTTTGACAAAATGCTGCGCATTGCAGTCTTGCAGCAACGACCAAGCACCGCTTTCCGCGACAGGGCTATGAGGTCCACTCGGGTTCCTCAGAGGACACTTGAACTTGAACCCCGGGCCCACAGCATGCACCACCAGTTCGCATGGTGTTGGGTGCAGGTGCGGGGAAGCGGGGCATTTGGGCCAACTCTCGGTTAATTCTTAATTGGCGCACATTAGCCGAATTTCCACTTCGGTGATGGCGCAGCAAGTTCGGATCCACTGATGAACATCCGAAACGACAGGATCGCGGTTCCTGCGGGAGCCGAGTGATGTTTCTCTGGCGTACTCAGTAGGAAGATTCCAGTGTGCTGTGCCAATCAATATCGACGCGGGATTTCCTCGAATTCCCGCGTCAGCGCCCGCGTCAGCGAGAATAGTCGCTGAATAGCGTGAAGCAGGGATCGTGAGAAAACTTCCCGGCAAACAGTCTTGACAGCCAAGCCTTTGCTAACTTCCGCTGCCACCGCTCTCAGTCGCGCACGGAAAATTCCCTCCCATCGCATCGGAAGCAGGCTTGAGCTCCTATGCGCCGCCATTACGACGCTCTCGGCCACAATGCTACCATTGGCCAAGGGCCTGGGTGTCAGCGAGATATTCCGGCCATTTTTCGACAACTTCGTCAAGCCACCCATGCTCCCAGATAGTGCTGCTCAGTAAAGCATCCGCATCAACATATTGAAACATGGGGATATCGTTCCGCTGCCCCGGGCTAGTGAAGCTATTGCTTCCAAGAGGACTCGTAGTGTCCATCTCGGATGCATCCGGCCGTCTGGACGCCGTTGAGCCGATGGCAGTCGACGGTGTCGCGGACCGTCGCCGGATAGAGCGAATATTCGCCTGAGGTCGGATGAGCAGTTCGTCCGGGGTATGAGCCACAGCCCACGGACCCAGAGTATCCGAGTCGACTGAGATTTGCGCACTGTTGAGGGCACTGGAAGTCTTCCTGTTCGGTGATTCGCTCCACATATCGATGCCTGCTTGGCTTCCGGCGCTGTGCAAGAAAATACCCGCGTACTTGGCGTAGATGTGAACACCCTGAAGAGGCTTGAGGTAGCATAAACAGTCCCGAAACCGGCGGAGTTGCTGCGATTTGCAATCCTCGTCCTTTACTGTTTTGTACTCGACAAGGTGATTCACCGCCGCGGTGAGCAAGAATGTGACGCTGGAGGAAGGGAGGAAGCGAAGAAGTCCGTACGTCTGAAGGTCTTCGAAGCGCCTTGCAATTGTCAACGTGGCATAATTGGACTTTTGCTTGGTCCACTCATGCGAGCAGAATGACGATGGCGCGGGAGCCAGCAGCTGCGGGCGGTAGAACGTGCACATAATAGCGTGGTGAAACATCAAGACTAGGGAGCAATGTACCAGGGCAATTTTGTCGCTGTCTCCCGAAAGCGGTTCGTGGAGCTGCTGATACTGCATATCGCCTGCAAGGTCGCACTGCCACGTGTTGAGCTCCCTTTCGATGTCTTGCACTTTTTCCGGAGTTATATCGGGAGCCTTTGGTAGTAATATCAAAGTCACTTCCCTGGTCGCACCTAGCTTTGGACTCGAATCGGTGTAAAGAGACTCAAAAACTCGACCTAAGAGCAGACATAGCTTGCATTTTTCGATGCATATGCGTGCCAAGCGTGATTGCAGGGCCAGATCTTGCAATAGCTTGCAGCCAGAGAGCATTTCCGTCACTGGCGTCGGGTGTATTCCGATGTCGAAGTCGTCTTCGTTTAGGAGAGGAAGATAGAACTCACTCGGCTTAATCTTTGGTGGCATGCGCACTCCCATATTTAGAACGCGATCACGAAGCATGCATGACCAGCCAACCCGCTTCCACAAATGCTTTTGTCGATCTGACATGTTGGATGAGTCCGGATCTTGGTATAGTCCGATGCTACGCGCAATCGTGCACCCCAGCTCCGCCCAGTACCAGTGATTAGCTGGTTCGTCGTGTATCTCTTGCCAGTAAGACAGGAGCAGTAGTGATTGAACGATGCATAGCCGATCATTCTCGTATCCCATTGAATATAGTAGCTGTTGTAACATATAAGCAAACTGGGAAACCCGTGCATGATCATAGGTCTCATGCCCATACCTTGGCCCTGACGAAGAAATCCTTGCGCGCGGCGAGCCTTGTGCTGTATCCTGCCGTTGCGAGATGGCATTCGTCGACGAATGTAGCCCCAGCGAGAAAGACGGAGTATAGTAGTAAGAGGCTGACTGTCCCGGCGGAATCGGAGCCATGGGGCTGAGCAATCGTCGCCAAAAACTCGCCGAGGTCAAGTACGGGACACAGCGGATGTACCCATTCCACAAAACTTCGCAACAGTGCGTTTCGCAGTTCCAATCCCGGAATACAAAATACTTGTTTTCTAGACAGGTATTCGATATCGTCTGCAGTCCAGCTTCGTGGAATGGGACTGATGTAGGAGGGCAACGTTCTGCTCAACATTGATGGCGGCGTCGACCGGTTGCGTACATATTGGTCCGGATTGCTACCTTGGACAGCGACAGAATGACCTATAATACTTCATGAGCCATCGGTCGATGGGAGAGTACCGGAATACTTACCGTGGACATTGGCAGAGTACGCAGCATCGGAGTTTAGTGCTGGCTCGTCGACGGTGGCCTGTTGGGCGCATCCAAGGCTCGACGAGGTGTCGCTCGACAATTGCGATGCAGGTTTCTCGATTGCAGGACCTGCTGTGAGACCTATTCTCCTCTTTCGTCCCCTGCAGTGAACCATCAATAGTCTGCAGCCAAGGGAAGAGACTTCACGCGACATACCTCCTTTTACCCTCAAGCAGCACGCAGGTGACCTTTGCTGCGCGACAGTTGGAACATGGAAGGCCATCAGTCACGTCGCAGCGGACTTTTCTCTCATGGCATTTGTGGCATGCTTTTGATGAACGCCGAAAGCCCCGCATCTTCCACGCGCAAATGCAAGGTGAGTTAGGGGCTTGTGCTTTGATGAGTTAATGCCGACGTTGTCGCCATTTTCAACTCCAGGCATTTGCGGTGCGTGCTCGCTCCACTACCCCGCCATCCCGTGTTTGCCAATAAACAGTCGACCAGAAATTGCCACGGGGTTGCGCTGCCCCGATTGGCAGAGAGCTCAAGCGGGCGGAAGTTGGACACTCGGGATCCCTGGAGGCTGGCAAGCTGGCATCCTTGGTCCGGGACGCTAGCAGGGATTCGGCTCGGTTGGGTGCATTGTGGAGCGACGAGCCTCGACACGCTGGAAGTGGCGGCGCGTGGCGGTGCAGAAAACCGTGGGAGATTCAACTCTCATGCAGGCATGAGCAGACGAGAGTTGCTACAGATATCAAATCTGGCCGCACTCTTACAAGGGCCGAGATCAGAGTGGCACAATCGAGCCCGATTCTTGTGTTGTTGCTCATGACGCCGTCCTCGCATCATCGCCTTCTGGCCTGCATCGCAGCCAGTCCAATTGCCATCGTCTACATGTTATCCAACGAAGGAACATGCTGGCTCCGCTGAAGGAACATTTAACGAACCATTCGAAAAGTCTGTAGCGGAATGGTGCCCAGGTTCCATCACAATTTACCTCTATTACACGCAGCAAAGGGACTCAAGCCAAGCTCACGGCAGGCCATAAAATCCCTCCATACAAACCCACGATTAAAGACCCTCCATACCAACCCAGGATCAAAGAGCACAGTCAGACCTACACCTCCTCAATGGTGTCGACTGTATGCTCCTCGACCGCCTGCTTCTCACTGCGCACGTTGATTTTCCGCTCTTGACGTTTGCGTTCCAGGCTCCGGACAGCCTCAGCTTCCTTGTCTCGCTCTTCCTGACTCATCTCCGGTCCCAGCAGTAAAAAGATGAAAACATACCCCCAAACTGCCGCCATGAAAATGGCTATGACCTTGCCATAATCAAACCTCTTCTCTCCAGTTGGACCGGGACTTAACGGAAATTGCTCCCCGATTATGGCTTGAATTGTCGCGGAGGCAGAAGATGCCAAGTTTCCGAGTTGATATGTCAAGCCTATGACTGTTGTGCGCAGTGCTACTGGTGAGAGTTCCATCAGGTAAATTGGGATTGGGCCCCAAACACCTCCCACAAACACTTGTTCGAAGAATGCACTGACGACAAGTGACGTGCTCCGCGGTAAGATGTAGGCTGGGACAAGTGCACCGCCCATGACACATGCAATGAGCATGATGAGCCGCCGACCGGAAAAAGTACTGACGAAACCGAGTATGGTACCACCCGTAATGGACCCAAGCTGACCGACAATCGATATCACGGTGACATTCGTAGCATCGAGCTGTACTTGATTCTTGAGGAATGTTGGGAAGAAATCCTGGCTGCCATGGGAGCAAGAGTTGAAGCCCGTCATAAGCACGACCATGTAGATCAGTAGGACCCAATTGTCTTTGACGGCTTTCCCGGCTTCTTTAGCGAATACAACGATGCTCATTTTGTTTGTCGGTGGTACCAACTCGTTTCCGTCTTGACGCTCGTTGACTCGAGCTTCGCGCTCGGCCTTGATGGCTTGGAAGTGATTTGTCTCTGGCATGGCCAAGCGGAAAACGATGAGGAGTAGAGGAGGGACGGCTGCGAACCAGAATAGGCTCCTCCACCCATGGCTTGTCGTTGGTACCAAAGCCCTGTAGAAGACTGCCGCAAGTAAGTACCCCGTCGAGTATCCGTTCTGATATATCCCCGAGAGTATGCCCCTCGCATCATATGGCAAATCGGCCAGAGCTGTACTTGCTGCGGGGCCATACATTCCTGCGGCCAAGCGGTTCAGTAATTGCTTGAACGCTTGAGGCGTGTGACTTACCACCCATCGCGATGCCATAAAGAGACCGCACTGCTAAAAACTGCGGCAGAGTCTGGCAAAACCCTGAAGCCAACTCAAGGACAACAAAGAGCAACATTGCCACAATCATAGGCCATTTGGCTCCGTACTGGTCGGCAAACGCCCCGAAAGTAAGGGCGCCGACGGAACGGAGCATCAATGAGACCGTGATGCCCTGTTACCGGTCAGCTACCGCTCTACTATTTCCTTGATGCATAATTACCCAGGACACATCCGAATTGGGTACGCCAAAATCCTTTGCGATCTCAGTGAGGCTAAGTCTGGCACCACTCGTTAGATCGGCCAGGATCGTCAAGAAGCACCACCGCTTACGAAACAGTAAAGCTAGTGGCAGTTAGCATAGGCATAAACGATGAGGGAAGCACGTACAAGTCCACGGCGTCCCAAACCCAGCACAGAAAGCCGCAAAGGAACATAAGCCATTGATGGCGGTTCACTTGTCGCAAAACTGTGACCGGGTTGTCGAGTGCTGTCTAGACTTCAGTCAGAAATTGTCTGCGATACGTCGGCTGGATGTGTTAATACCTTTGGAGGTTTCAAGCTGATCACACGGCTCATGAGATATTGTTTAATCTGTTCCAGAGAGTAAAACCATCCGGCGGCCATGTGATTCTTCATCGTGACAGATTTGAGTATATTCGACGTTCAACTTGTTGTTCGATCTTCTTACGAGATAAGAGACGACACCGTTTTCATTTACGAGTTTAAGAGCTATACGCCATCCATTTATCAAGAAACTTCGTAGAGTATAAATGACTAAAGGCCACGCTTTAGTGGTGCTGTCAAAGTCTCTGATGCAGCGTACATTTGGCCCGCGCTGGGAGCTGGCGATGGTGTGGCGTAATAGCGTCGGCAAATAAATTCCTACTGGTACAATTCTTTTTGCCGAAACTCCAGCCCCTCGCGGTGGCGGCCAGTAGTGGGGAAAAAATAACCGAGCATGGGAGTGGACAGCAAGGACTGAACCACAGGCCGCGACAGGCGTAAATGGCATCCTAGTCGCCTTCGTCATTTCGCCGAGCATGCTTGCAGCAATGTCAGCAACTAGTGGGATCCGCACTGGTAATGGATAAATTCGCGATATCGGGCATATGCGCATGCCGCGACTTGTTAATTAAATGGGAGTGGCAGTTTCTGCAGGAAGTTGCCGATCACGCGACTCTCTCAGTGCACAGCAACGAAAGCACTTCAACAAGATGGCTGGACGTCACACGCCTGGTGGCTTGGCAGCTCATCCCTCAATTTCGGTGAGGACGTTTCTGATAGCCGGGCTTCTTGTTGATGTCTATGGACTCGAAGAACTAGAGCCAAACGTCCCAATTACGTGCCTTTGGCTCCTGCATCCGCGGACTTACAATCGTGGCAATATGCGAGACTTTGCCTACCATTGTGTCGGTACTTTTATTCAGCATCGACTAACCGTGGGATTGAAGCGCGGCCTTCTCGCGTTGGCGTTTGACTTGCCCAACCATGGGACACGCCTAGTGAGTGGAAAACGAAACAAGACGTGGAAAGAAGGCAACCAGGACCATGCACTGGATATGATAAGCATTATCCTGGCTGCAAAGAGAGACCTTGCAACACTTATTGACTTGATTGGGGGCTATTTGGGTCGAGGTCCGATAGAGAGACACGTAACCCTGGGTTGGAGCCTTGGCGGTCATATTGTCTGGGAAGCCTGGTTAGAGGAGCAAAGAATAGATGCAGCCGTTGTGGTTGTCGGATGCCCGGACTTTCTAGGTATGTCAGGTTCCGGTCGTCGTCCCGGTATGACCAGGAGCAAATTCTGGCTGTAGCACGACTCCAATAGCTGATGTTGACAGGCCTGATGCGAACACGAGCCAGCGACGCAAATTCAAACTGTTCTGGGTCAGTTGTGGATGATCAAACGCTGCCACGAGACTTTCTATCGGCTTGGCTCGCGCACGACCCGCGATATTTCCTCTTTGGCTCTGACCCTGTCCCGCAACTGCCACTATCATCCGTTGAACAACGTCGCCTTCGACCGCTACTCGACAGCAGGGTTCGTGCTAAGAGTCTGTTTGTTTGCTCCGGCGCAGACGATATCCTGGTGCCGTACGCAACGAGCCAGCCGGTCCTTGATGTGCTCAAGGATGCGGTTCGCCTTGGTGGCTGGTACACTGAAGGGGCTGTGACAGTGGAAGACCGCGTTTACAAAGGAGTTGGCCACGACTTTAGCACTGAAATGGTGAAGGATACTGTGGAGTGGCTCATCTCTTGCATCGCAAGGGGCTCAAATAGAAAGGTGATCAGCCGTGGAGATGGACGGTCATGTCTCTAGCAAGGTCTTGCCCCAACGGGTGTTACATGGCTCGCTTAAACTAATCGGCCTATAAATTACAATAGATTGATTGCGACTTAGCTCCAAACTTAACTTGTGTCGTAGCTTCGCAATAAGTGTTCGACCATGCGGACTTGGTGTGATGAAAGAATGAACCCGCGGTGAGAAGCCTTTTGAGCCCACAACTACGCGACTGAAGCAAATCGAAGGTTTACCCAAGGGCATCCGGATTTGGCCTTGCCTACACTCTTTGCGCAGGACCTTTCACTGGTCGCTATAGCATGAGTTTCTCTCCAATCCCCCTTAGCTGTACTCGCGTAGAGCGTCCGAGCGTGCATTCAACTCAGTAGGTTGCTATTTACGGATCTTCAGTCTGCTTGAAAGTACACCACCACCCGTTCCTTGTTTGAGCGTTGGTTATATAGTGATGGTTAAAGCTCTGAAGATGTGATAGCAGTTTTATGTCATTACCCTTACGGCGTAAGAGTGCCATTGGCTTCCCTCACTGCTGCGTGGTGTAAGTCCCTCTCTGCCAGTAAATGCATCTGTCGTTCTTTGCATCATCCGTTGCTGTCCCTACACCGTCGCTTCCAAACGTAGCAATTCTAGCAGATTTCCCGTACTGTTGCCATTTTGGGGCTGAACCGGGCTCGTTTGGGTTGCTTGAAGCTGCGAATTTCGTAAAGTACGTTTGCATCTGGACTGCGAGCCGAGAAATAACATTTGCGTCGCCGGGTTTATGAAACGTGTAGGCAAGGTCCTGCGCATGATTTCCAGGCGGAACTTCGAAGCGATAGTTCCAAGTTGCGTTTTTGAACGAGGTTGCTAAGTATCGGGTGTTACAGACGAACGTATACTCGGATAGCATCAAAGCCGCGCGGCCGTACTCCGTGGTATATAAATCTGTCTGTCGAGGTGGTGGGTATAGCACAGTAAGAATGTGTTCAATCGCCGAATCCGTTATTCCATATATCGAAGAGCGAAGTTTAGTAACAATTTTTTCGCGGCTGTCGATTAATGGTGACGTAAAAATATCGGATTCGTGGGAGTTATGGCCAAGCATCAGCTCTACTGAGTTGTCGAAATCCCCCTTCAGCAGCGACACGCCCGGAAAAGCTGGTACATAACCGCCATCAACAGTCGGGCCGTAGCCGAAGTCTCCGTAGTTGGACTTGTAAACAATATCGCTGTTCACACGAAGTAGTGTCGGGTAATCCAGGGTGACAAGGTCCGTTCCATTTGTAATTGGTCGTCCCGCCCGTGTGCTGGCTGCACTCAGTGTTTGGTTCCAGATTTGTGCTACTGGAAGCGATGTAAGCCATCCCGGACTTTGGATTATTGCCCGCTCAAACGGCACTGTTGAATGGCGGTTTCCAGTGATGTGGTGCATGACGCTACCTCCACCAGCTGACTCGCCAAATACAGTGACTCTGTCTGGGTCACCGCCAAAGAGGTGGATATACTTTTTAACCCTATAATACCGGAGTAAGTATTTGCGAAAGAATCGGGTCTCGTGTAGGTCTATTGTACCATTTCAACCCTAGGCGCTGATCCTGGAGGGCGGTATTGGGAAAGATGTCTTTGTCTCCCTGGCCGTTGAGCCACCCGAACAACCCCAAGCGATAGTTTAATGCCACAAATATGACGCCTTCACCGTGCTCGCTTGTCGAGGTTGCGAGAAGTCCAGAGGGATTAAAGGAGGCGGAGTCTTTCTGTCCTTGAAGAAGGTGATGAGCGCAAGCTCTTGCGTTTCGTGTTTCAATTCTCACCAAATACGTAACCACCGCCATAGATCCAAACCATAACAGGAGCTGAAGCTTGTTAGCGATGTAGATCGGTGTTAGCCCATTACTATGTGTTCTTGCCTCTTCTTCGGGCATGGCGACTCCCCTTCCCTGAACGCACTCCACATCGGCTATCGAAAAGCAATTTGGGAACGTGCACGTCAAGAAAAAGACAGTCCTCATGCATGGTAGTATCGTTCAAGAGGTTATCGCGGAGCGCCTCGGTGGTTATACCGGCGGCATGAGCACGCGACTCGAGATACCACCGAGGAAAAGCCTGCGGACATTTGAACCCAACGGACCCATCATTCACATTTCTGTCCACAGTGGAAACGGGTCGAGGCGGCTGGAACCGATGTTGACGTAGTGGTGGATCCGCGAATCGGATATTTCTGAATGTGTAAACGTGCTCTGTTTCCTGGAAGTACCCTTCAGCAAACGAGCATAGCAAACTTTGCGAAATCTATAAACCCGTGTGAACTCACATTATAAGCAGCTCTATATCGAGCATAGTCCAAGTCCACAACGGGAGCTTGCTGTGGTGGAACTGCTGTCGCCAGAACGTGGGCGGAGAGCATGAGAAAAGTAGACACAATGGTGCACAGGACTGCCATTGCGTGAATTGTGCGAGCAAATGTTTTCTAGACGGGACAGGTGCAAGGCTGCGTTGCCGTAGTGAATATTTCCACAGGGTCGGTCAGGGTTATTTTACGAGGGAATGCCCTATGACTGCTTTTGGTCCTGAAAGATTTATAGACGCTTCGCGAGTAATCCTGTCACTATTAGGCGCCGCGCGATCACTCTGACATACCGAACTCGTTCTGGTCTGAACGGCGGACTGGAAGGATTATACCCGACTGAAGCCTGGCCCGAGCCCCCGCAACTTCAACATTGGGCCAGTTCCGACCGCGTCGATCACTATGTGGGCCGCTACGTGTTGGTCTGCTCGGATTCGCCTCTGCCTCTCTGAACGTTCTTACAAAAATTAGCCGAGACCTGATAGCCAGGCAATCAACATTACAGCCCCGATAACGCCAGTTAGCCCTCATAGCCAACGACCAGCTTCGAAGTTCAACCGACCCTCCTCGGACGCTCGGCTAATAATTCCCATGCTCGCCTCACTCTTTCAACCCTGGTTGGATGGACCTGACGGGACGACGAAAGGATTGATCGTATTAGCCAACAAAAGACCTCTCGGAGCTACCTGTTAGCCGTACCACTCAATATGGATCTCAAGCGCAGTGCCATAGTCTCGGCCCGTGTGGGGCCTCCCGTTGAGCTTCTCATCTACACTCAGTAGGCCCTAAAGCTATGATGGATTGCTTGGCTGATCTAGCAGTGTGAGGATATTTTCCCCCGGCGCCAGTGTTTGCTTCATTAATGGGGGACTAAAGAAATCAGAGCTACCGCCAGGCGCTTCCCAGAAATCTGACTGTGGCTCATGAGCCAACGGGGTCTCCTGACGGATGCGCGGCGGACTTGAAAACCGCAAGCTCTGATCCTGCGATGCCGTCCAGCCGGTCCCATGACATGTGTTTGTCTGCCCTGCACGCTCTCGGAGGCGCGCTGGCCGACGAGGGCTCCCCTGCCATCGCAGGCATATGGAGCTCGACATGGTTTGTGTCTCGCATTAACATCGGAGTGTAATGCGGCTTGGGTGAGGAAAGGTCCGCAGGGTTGCCACCAGGCCTTTAGGCGTGCTGTCGCGATTGACGAGACGCGGCTTGCGCGGTCTACCGGGCTGGCCGGCGGCGCCGGTCACGCATCGCGCTCTGATGTGGAAGCAGCGGGCACACTGCACCATGGTGTTTTCGGCTCGTAGACATCGCACTCGCTTCGCTCTGCACTAGTCGCAGGCAGAACGCCCGACTCGGGTCTTCAGCACATCATCCATTCCTCGTATCTCGAGGTGGGGCTCGCGAGGAGTCCAATAAGACTGGGATCAGATGGCCTTCGTGCTTGGAGAGACATGAGAGTGCGATTGCGACGAGGCAGACACGCCGTACGTGCCACAGTCGCCGCAGACGCGGCCGCCTGTAAGGGGTGAATGCGCCACGACGCTCTAGAAAACCACCTGGGAGGGTTTGTGGCCGCCCGACCGTGTGCGCCGCGCTCGGCCACTCAGCAATAGCGCTACTATTTTCACGTATGGTATCTACGCGCGTCTCTTTCTTCACGCACGTTACGCCGCAAAAGGTGCTACACTGTCTGCGAGCACGCAGGCCACGGTGGCTTCAATAGCTCGGGCAGCTGGGCGACCGCGATGCCGTCAATTGCTGCTGCCGCCGCCCAGGCGGGCTGTGCGCGCAAGCCGCAGAAAAGGCCCAAGGGGCGCCGCACGGTAGCCCGCGCGAGGCCTGGCTAGGTACCGTTGAATACTCTCGTAGCGCTCATGCCACAGCAGCTGCAGCGTGGTCGGAGGGAGGTAAGAAGCGGAAATCTGCCAGGCGCCCCAGTTACACCGCCAGCCACCCGCGCGCCGCGCGCCATCTTTACCTCTGTCCAATTGTCTGAAGCCTGCCCCGAGCATGCATCTTACCAATTGACTGCCAACAGCACCTGGGTAGTCGACGGTCATTGCAGCATGTATGGGCGCTAGTTTTGTGCCTCCTACTGGTTGACACCCTAAGCATGTTCGAGGTCGGTCACTATCTGCGTCCGGTTTGTTGCAAGCATATCACTCAGGCTTGGAATGCTTGGTGGCACATAAGTTAAGATAGAGCTAATGCCTCTGGCAGATATTGGGCATGGTAATCGCCTTCAACCAAAGCTATTCTAACCCATGAAGGTTTCCGCCTTCATACGGGGTAGGCACACTCGCAACGACTACCGCTCGTGCGTAAGCGAAAGCCAAGCAGGCATCGAGACATGGGCAATACTCACCCATTCTTGCATATTCCGAAAGCAGGTGATCCCCACTGTCGCTTACACTTTAATCGCTCGGTGTCAGTAGCGTACAGCCATGAGATTGCAGGCACGCTCACCTGTGCATCACACGTTGATTTCCGACAAGCAGCTGCAGCTCCCTGGAAGGAAAGTGCAACCGCTATAGCAGCGACAAGACCCTGAAGCTTCATGTTCGGCAGCAAGCGCGAAGAGCTGTTGAAATTATGTAGAAGTGTTTAGCTGCACAGCTGTATTCGGAATTGGAGACTTGGCACGGGCTTGAGCACCTCCAATTGTGGAAGATGATGATTTATATATTGTTCTGAACGGATGCTGCTCGAGCGGGGTGAGCGAACACTTGGTCCACATGCGCCGCACCAAAATGGCACTCTGCAGTCTTTCGGATCATCGGGCTTCAAAAGTCAGCCTCGCAGAGGCTTGCATCCGGTACCCGGCAAGCATTATGCGCAACGTCAGTCATCGCTCTGTGTGGCACTGCAGAGTGACGAGAACAACGACGCAGACTGGGTTGACCCTGCACCTGCAGAATGCATGTGATGTCGGATGCTTCGCACGGCGATCCTCATCTCGCCCAGCTGGCCACATCAAGATGACGGCCTGCCGCGACGAAGCACCAATGTTGGCTTGAAACTGCGCAGGCCAAAACTGACGGCAAATAAGCACGGAAGAACGCAGTGAGGTTCATGTGGTAGACGCTCTTCCTTGGCATCTTTGCTTACGGACTGCGTCTCCAGCGGCCGGTGCAGCGCAGCTCCAACTCCACCTCTCATTCCATGCTCTTCGCGGAGGCGGGCCGTCCATCCAAAGGGCCGGAGGATGTGGGGTACAGCCCAAATCGTCCGACGTTCCGAACCCCGACAACCCAGCGGGGTCATGGCCGTACTCCCGCTGAATTGTCCTTCATGTCAGCCTGCTTCTCAGCCCTTCATCGAAGACTTCAACGAAGTTCATTTGGCAACGATGGGTAGCTTATGGATACGTCACTCTGACGCAGAGCCCGACGCAAGCAATCTTGGCTCGTGAGTACAAAGCAAGGATAATGTTCCCCACTAGTATACTTATGCGGGAGACTGGCGGCGGTCAGTGTCGGGCGGCCTGTTCAGGCGCGTGAGGGAGGCGACACGACCGAAGGCAGTCCGGCCGTCCATCCCCAACCAAAAACCCGAGAGCGCACCCGCGGCGCACACGCGACATCCGCCATCAGAGTGGACCACTGACAGGGATCGCAGATGTCGGCGCGGATAAAGGGCCTCGTTCAATGACTTCGCGAGCATGAGACTGAGCGCCATTCGGCTTACCCTAGACTCGGGCCAGCCATCTCAATGCCCATAGATGCATCGATTTCAAGACCTACCGTACAGATGCAGTCAGAAGACTGGGAATCGGTTCAGCTTGATGCACAGAGCGGCAACTTGCGAGTGGCCATTGTAGGGAAACCACCATCACTGTTAGGAAACGGGACCCTTGGGGCCCGCAACAGAGCATTCCACATATGACACATTAATTACATAGGATACTAAATACACGAGAGCGCGCGCTGTGAACAAGATAATGAGCGACGAAGAGGGCGTTTTGCGCTGCAGTCTTGGGGTCCACTGCGACTGTTCCATCTGACAAGAACTCGGAGGAACTCGAAACATTCGACACCAGTGCATGACAGACAGGGCGGCCTCATTTCGCGCCGCCTCAGTTGATGGTGACGTGGCGTGACCCCTGCCGCTTCGCCTTGGGGACGGCAATGCTCAGGATGCCGTCCTTGAAGCTCGCGGTAACAGAGTCCTGGTCAATACTGCCGGGGAAGCTGAAGGTGCGGGAGAATTCTCCCACGCTGCGCTCCGAGAGCCAGTACTTGGCTGCGTCGGCCGGTTCTTTCGAAGGAGCCTCAGTCTTCTGGTTGGTAACCTCGGTGGAAGGGCTCTTGGCCGATTCCCCGTCATCCTCGACAGTGGCGTGGCGTGATGCGCTCGCCTGCTCATCGCCGCCTTCGGCGATGGCTTTTGTTGCAGGAGCATCGCCGAGCAATCCACCAGGGGCAGCACCCGTCGTATAGGATCGCTCCACGCGGCCACGCACCACCATGGTCTGCGGTTCAGTGAACTCAATCTGAACCTGCTCCTTGCTCACTCCAGGGAGCTCGCCGTGAAGCTCATATCGTTCACGTGTCTCGCGAACGTCGAACTTGGGCTGCCAGATGGGGAGCGCGGATCGGCGTTGAGCCCCGGTTCCATTGGTCGGACGAGAGTAGGCGTCGAACTCGTCGAGAAGGCGGAAGAGCGGCGCAAAGGAGGCGTCGGGGTTGTAGAAGTTGCGCGGAAAGAAGGCCATGGTGCGGGTGTGGGTAGGGTTGATTGGCCGGATGGCAGCTCGCTTCAGGTTATGCGACAGTCTTCGAGGTAGGGATGTTCGGCAAGCCTGCATCAAGAGTCTCTCGCTGCCTGCTGATGGGGTCTTGTTGGATGCTTGTCGAGACTGACATGATGCACGATGGCCAACCCCTTTAAATACTTTGAAACGGCGATGCGGCGATGCGAAGGGAGCCTGTGGTCGAATATTCCAGAGCTGGGCAAACGAGCGACGACGAAATCATGACGAAACAATCGCGCGCATCTATTGGGGCTTTTCGGCGTCGCGTGGTGTCGTCGGAATGTGGTGGCCCCTTGTGGAACCTTCCAGCACCTGCGAGCAGCTGCGTGCGCCACCTTGAACGTGCACGCCGCGAGTGCACCTTGGACGCGACGCCAAAGTCATCATCGTCGGAGACGTCAAACTTCGAGCGCGATTCGTGTGTCGATTGGACAGTCGCGCACTTCATTGCGCATGGATGCGAACAAGCCAGCAGAGCAGAGCGGATTGATGCGTCTTCAGGCACGCTCCGCGGGCGACATCAAATGGGGCCTGCATTGAGGGCATAAAATTGCCATGCACGATCACGGCACGAATTGAGCCATGCCGGCAAATCTACATGGTATCGTGGAGCAAGCTCACAGAGTGGTGGGCACGTTGCCTCAATCTGGCGGCGGGTTGATCGGCTCGCGGCGGGTGCGACTGGGCGGGCGCGGGACGAGTTGGGCGGGAGAAGTTAACGCACAGCCGGCGTCGCTCACGTTCGAACGCCACCGTGTGCCGGCGCGAGGTCACTGACCGGTCAATCCGGGCAATCCCGCCCCGACAAGTTGCCACCATCACCAGACTGTGCTTGCCCAGCCTGCCAGCTGTAAGCGCCACGGTCCGTCGCGAGCAATGTGGCGCTACACTGTCTGCACGCGACGCCCACATCGCGTGGAGCTTCTTGAGCGCATCGCGTATCGTTGATGGAGGAGCATCAGCTGCGTCGGCGCAGATGCACAGCGCGCCAACTCGTAGACACGGATTTGTGAGGCGTCAATGGCAAGCCCGTCGCTCGATGTTGAGTCGTAGCCGGCTTTTTCCTTGCGGCCCACATGGATGTCTATTTTGACTCTGCTTCTTCTTCCCCGACGTTGTCGTGGAAAAGGTGGTCGCCCAAGCGGGCTGTCCTCGCTGCTTGTGAGGCCGGGGCAAATGGACACCAGGTCTCCGTCAAACTGTTTGCGACCATCCGAGTTCCTTACAGTTAACCTTGCCAAGATCTCTCTCTTCTCGCTGGGTCGTTTGATGCCGCGGCACGTCAGACTGAAGGGGAAGAGGTCATTTAACGTCTGAGATCGAGTCTGTTGAGGAGCCATGCCAATGACCGGCCGTGAGCGTCGTGGAAGTCGGAGCTGATTTGAGCGACACCAAATCACGCGATTACAACCGTTCCAGGTCATGCTGGGGTGCAGGCGACATTCATGCCGACTGCCTGGCGATGGAGACAATCCAGTCAGCGACTTCCTTTGGCCGAGATGCATTAGGTGCATGCCCGGACTCGATTTCCGTCACGTCAAACTTGCCACCAATCTGTCTTTCCATCATTGCGATGCTCGCTCGCTGGAGCTCGGGCTCCTGCGCAAGGTCTTTGGTGCAGAGCAGGTACGAAACCGGCACGTCCTTGAACCCGGCATGGCTGAGACTGGCGGGAAACGTCGAGCCGGAATGACGAGTGCTCATCTTTGCCCACCGTTCGCCCTCTTCCTTCGGCAAGTCGTTGAAGACGTTGGCGGCGGCAACGGAGATGTCTGTCTGGTGCAACCATCCATCGTCCTGCATCTGCAGGTTAGCCCCAGGCGCACACTTGTAGATTGCATAAAAGGACACAGACATCAGGCCTGATCTCAAAAGGAGCTGTCCGAGGGAGCATATTGTCTGGCATGATGACGCTGGCATCGGATTCTCCGACGGGAAGAATGAGGCACGAGATGTAAGCCAGTCTCACGAGCCCGCCTGACTTGCCCTGGCGTTGCCTCTCGACTTTGCTGAGGCCCTTGGTGCTTTCCGTAGCAGGTATGCCCCCGTAAGAGTGGGCAACGAGCACGACGTCCTTGCCTGCGTCGGCATGTCTCGAAATTTCCGAAGCGATGTAGGCAGCATCATCTTGCATGGTCCCCGGAACGTCAGTTTTGTAGCCTATGCTGGGAAGGTGGAGAGCTTGGATCGGGTGTCCCTCGCTCGACACATGGGCGACGACGTCATTGTACAGTCCAGGCAAAGTGAACCCTCCTGGTACGATCAGTACTGTCGGCTTTGCCATTGATGGCAGAGGGGAAAAAGTGGTGGGAATTTGTCGTGGACGAGAACAGGTTGAGCGGTTCTGGATGAGTGTCCAGTGTTCACTGATCACCCGTCAACGTTGCCGCGACGACAGCAGTGCAGCACTATCGATAGCGAGAGCCGATAAGATCATATCGATAAGATCATAGAGTGCTATCGATAACGGCCAAGATGCTGACGACGTCACTAGCCACTGGTTTCTATTTACACTGTTGCACAATTTGCTCGAAGGTGCCCTTACAGCAGCTGCAGCCATCGCAGCCAGCAAGATGCGACAGGAACTGAAGCCCACAGTTGCAACGCAAGCCCTTGTCCTACCGCGGTATCCATCGCAGGGCGAATTGCTCTGGTCTGTTCATCTGCAGTGTCAGCCTAGGTTGGCTGTCTTCCATCAGTTTGAGCAAATCCTCCCTTCTCTCTTCTACGCTCCTTCCTGGCATGGGCATGGGCTCGACACGGAGGCGTGCAAGTAATGTCGACATGACCGTGACGAATTCCACTTGCGCCATTTTCTGCCCAGGACACACGCGTGGGCCTCCTGACCACGGTAGGAATGTCCCTCGTGCAGGCGTGATGAGCTCTGCCTCGGTGCCGTCGCTGTTGAGCGTGAGCCATCGCGAAGGTCGAAAGTCGCCGGCGTCATTTCCCCAGTCTTCCCGGGCATGATGCAGGCCAGCGTTGTTGATGTAGACGGTACAGGGCCCGGGAATGATATAGTTCTCGCCTTCCTTGCTGATGGCCTGGTCGTGGCTGATGCTGCGGGAAATATGGATGAGTGCTGGATATAACCGCAGCGTTTCCATCTGTCGTTTGCAGCACCATATTAGCAGTCAATGCTCTCGCCTAGGCCTTTAGGGTTGCTTACCATGACTGCCAGGCAGCGCTTTAGTTTCGGGAAGTAAGTCGTGTAAGGTAGGATGCGACTTTCACCCACGGCCTTGCTGCCCAGGACGCGATCGAGCTCGTCCTGCAGCCACGCCTGCCACTGCGGGTACGCCGCCATCAAGCCAACAGCGTACGTCATTGTGTTGGCGGTGGTGTCGTAGCCTGCCGCTGTGAAGACGAAAAGGTTGCCGGCGATCTCGTCTTCACGCAAGAACTGACTCGGCCCAAACGCGCCGTTGCCTGCCTTACCTTGATCAGACAGGCGAACGAGTTGGCTCATGAAAGTATTGTGCGCCACTTTACGTTCGCCGTCTGCATCACTGGCTATCGATTTTGCACCACTCGCCTCTGCTCCCGACGCGATTCGCTTCCGCTCATGGTGGAGCATGTCAGCCGTCAACTCAGGCAAGGCTCCCAGCGCTGCACCCAGGGTTCGTATCTGTGATGGCATGAAGGGAAGACGCAAGAGCGCACCAGGCACCAGAGCAGCGACGACTAGCAGTTCGGTGCAGAGAGAGATACCCTCAACGTAGGTCATCCTGGCATGCGCGTCTCGCGGCAGAGTCAAAGGTTCGAAGGGTCTGGGTTCCCCATAACCAACCTGAGCGAGGACGTTGATGGCAATGGTCCGTAACAAGTTGCTTGCATGGCGGGAATCGCTATCGGGCTGGTCAAGTAGATAGTCTATCATCCGCTCCGTTTGAGTAGTGCTCTCATCCCAGACTATCTCACTGATGCGCTCGTTGAGACTTGGGGCGATGAGACGCCGTTGCCGGGACCAATCGTCCCCGTCCGACTAAAGAATGTTTTGTCAATCGAACGGTTGTCGTTGTACAGGGCCCGGGTGGTGCATATCTCGAGATCAAGTAGGTACATGTGTGGCCTTCATGCTGGTAGGCGCAACTCGGTACAACGTCCTTCACCGGCAAGGGGTGTGCACTTACAGTCAGGATATTCTCCCCTAAAAAGCATAGAATTTTGCTGCCAATTGGCAACTGCACAAAGTCCTTTCGCCTCGAAAGTATGCTCTGGGCCATGTGAGGGTCGGCGCACCACAGCTCGTTAACTCCGGCGGTCACAAGAATGAACGCAGGGCCCACGCGCTCATGGATAGCTCCCTTGTCCAGAAATTCCCAGCCGAAGATGCTGAGGCGAACCCTATCAAATAGAGGCTCGGGGAGAAATCTAGCGAGAATTGGTCGCAACGGAACCTGCGCGATGATATAAAGGATCTAGCATAATGGAAATCAGTATCTTGGGTCAGAGTATCGACTGCTAAGGGATTGAAGGACCGGCCTCACGCTCTGATTGTTGACGGGACAGAGAATGACGGGTAAGCCGGATCTAATCGCATCTTGGTAGTTCCGGTAGAACTTCCATGCGCTAGACAGGATAGCATACGCTGCCACAATGGCAACTATGAGCAGGAAGCTCATCTTTTCTTCTTTGCAGTCTAAGAGAGAGACGTGTTGCAGAGGGCAAAAAGCGCAGCGTTGTGAAAATAGTCGTGATTATTCACAGATTCACGTGGCCCGACGTTGATGCGCGAGAATTCCTGCCTGGCCTGCTTGTCTCACGCACGTTGAGGGATTCTTACCTACATTATTCACCAACCTCGGCGATTACCTAAATAAGAAGACCGGCTGCAGCAATAATTAGGGAAGGGCCGATGTTGTGGCTGTCGTTGTGCTGACAGCGCTTCCTCTTCTGGGAAAGGTGAACTCATAGCGTCAGCCGTCGTAGCCTTTGCCGTTGACACCGCAAAATCCGGGCAGGACAAATGGCATCCCGTCTCCTCAAGGCTAGGAGGGTAAGGAGTCAAGGATACCGAAAGTGACGATCAAGAGGCCTGCTTGTTTCGATGGCGATTCGATGCCCGGCATAGGCGACTGCATGTGGTGAGTTGGTGGCCCGGCCACTGAACGCAAATGTTGGCGTAAGTGCTCTCTAACCTGCACCTCTGTGCCCAAATGGCAAACATAGACAAGGATTCTACACCATCGTTGGTTCAACAAGACACGTCCAATGCACACGACTTGCGCTCGGCCTATGCGTTCATGTAACCACTGTGCGTCGTCGCGAGTATGTTCAAGCCTCGTAGTCTCCGCTCGGCAGTTGTTCTCGCCGTGGCTTGCCCGAATTCCAGTACATTCGCGTTCTGTGTGGCGCCCGTGTCAGCCAGCTCAAATTGGCGGTGCCACGCTTCGTGGTGTCCAATTTTGCCCCTGCTCTGTGGCCGTGATGACAAGCGACGCTGTCATTGTCTTTCTCGTTCCATTTGTGTCATGTAGTAAAATGGACTTGGAGAGGAGGTCGCCCTTTCGACGCGCCTGTTCCGTGGGGATGCCGCTGTACTTCGTTAAATCCCAGGAAAGTTCGATGCCACGCCGGGACAGTATTATCCTAGCATAAAAATTGCTGATTGGGCACGCAGTGAAGACAATGCCATTTGAAGGCAAGCGGCGACCGGCCGGTGGCTTGCAGTTGCGGGACGCCCGGCGCCGGTACCACATCCGGCGGTGGGCTCCACCGAAGCGGACTTGCTGAACAATCGCTCGCGTCAACCGCGAACAAAGTCCGCATCCAGGAAAGGAGAGAAAGGGCACGCCGGGAAAGACTGTGCGGCTATTTCGGGTATAAAACATATCACGTTTTCTGCAGCGTTCGGAGTTTTGTTGTGTAAACCGATTGACCCAACTCTCCATCTTCTGTCTTGACTCTCGACACGGCCAGAACAAGTCATGACATCTACTATTCTCATCGTCGGGGCCACGGGCAACACTGGCCGTAGCGTGGTTGAAACGCTATCCGAATTGCTCAACAACTCCAGCGAAATTCTGCCAGGTTGCAGGATCCTCGCGCTCACGCGCTCTCTCCACGGGCCAGCGGCCCAGCAGCTCACTCGGCTGCCCCGTGTCGAAGTGGTTGAGCAGAACTGGGTTCAGATTACGGCTGATTGGCTCCGCCAAAATCGAGTTGTAAGAGCATTCATTGCATCTCACAATCTGCCAACTCAGTTTGCCGAGGAATCGGCTTTCCACCTCGCTGCTCTTCAAGCCGGTGTCGAGTATGTCGTCAGAATCTCGACGACGGCTGCGAATGTGCGCCCAGATTGTCCGGCCTACTATCCACGGACGCACTGGGCAATTGAGACACTCTTGAGCTCGCCAGAGTTCCAGAATTTGCAGTGGACCTCGCTCCAGCCCAACATATTCTCCACGTTTTATATTGCGCCCGCCGCAGAACTTGTCAACAACTATCGAAAATCTGGAAAGCAAGGCGCCCTACGGCTACTTGCTTCGCGGGATTCCCCAGTGGGTGTCATTGATCCCGCTGATGTTGGGGTTCTGGCGGCCCATCTACTGGTTACGAACGATACCTCTAAGCACAACAAAGCGAAATACATTGTGAACGGACCCGAGGATATCACAGGCCAGCAGATCGTGAAGATGGTGGAGGATCAGATTGGCACACGAGTTACAGATGTCCGCTACCAAGATACATCTGTTATTGATGAGATGGCCGCCCAAAATCCAGAGTCAAGAAATATCATCCTGTCTGCCAAGCACGCACCAGAGACGGCATGGGCTGGGGAATGCACTGCTGCCACAACGAGCAAGGAGGTGCTTGAGCTTGCAGCCCCCAAGAACACCCCCGCGGACATGTTCAATGCCTTGTTGCGGGCATAATTACGAACAAGACTGTTCAGTCACTGACATGGAAGTATCTTGCTAGCAAAAGAGACTTGGACATGAATAGAGCACCCGACTTCAATTCTCTATGTTGCTTGTCCCATGATCATGTGATGAACAAGGTTCAGCGTGTGCGGTGCAGACATCCATAAGAACCCGAAACAGTTAAGTGAATCATTTAAGCTCCGAAATGTGCAAGATCGCTTGTTCTTATGCCGTTTTACAAATTCCACCTGCGCCTCGTCCCAAGGACCTCTGGTGTCGCGATATGTACAGCAAGCTTTGCGCAACCAGTTCCGACTTAAAGGCCACCAGCAGCACAGATCGTCTTTGCCTGGCTAGTGTACTTGCGGTAGGCCGTGGGAACTGCAGACCTCTGCACGGCTTGGCAGAGCTTAGCGACATCCATGGTCTTCCAGCCCTTGATGGCCGTCATGCCCTTGAAGAACAGGCTCGCGGAGCAAGCCGCGTCCATGTCGCACTTGATGTCCTTGTAGTACATCGCTCGCTGCTGGAAGATGCCGACGCTATCGTGATCGGAGCCCTTGCCGTCGTAGTGGTACTTCAGAGAAGCCGGCACTTTGTTGTTTGCGAGGATCTTAATTTGCGACTGTGCTGATGTTAGCTGTACGTTCTCTCAAGGGCTAAGAGAGCAGGCTTACCTCGGTGAGCCCAGTGGCAAGGGCCGCCATGCAGCCTTGTCGGCCGAGTCCCTGCTTCTTGGTCTGGGCAATGATGGCCCGAGCGTTCTTGCTCTGCACAGCGTTCAGGGTCGGGAGGTTGCCGCCTGAAGGAGGAGGAGGGGTGTTGCCGCCGCCGCCGCATTCGCCGACGACCATGTTGGAGGTGCCAGTCTTGACATAGAAGTCGGCCACGTAGCAGCCATCCGAGGTCTTGTCCCAGAGCGAGTCGCCCTTGACGCTCTCGCCACGTGTCTGGCAGGTGATCTTGACGTCCTCGTTGAGCTTGTACGACTTGACGACCTTGTAGCTGGTGCCAGGACCATCGCGGCAGTTGACAGTGCTTCCCGTGATAGGGTACGCGCCGACCATGGAGCCGCCAAAGGCAACGGACAAAGCAAGGAGTGTGAAATGCATGATGAAGGTGAAAATATGAACAGATGAAGATGAAGCAGTGGGGATGAAGCCGAAAGGTAAAGAGATGAAGATGGAAGAATGCGCTGTGTGAGCTGTGTCTGTCTATCGAGTGATTCCTCTTTTTCTGGCGGACAGACAGAGCTCTTTTATATTATGACGCATCCCGATGATTTCCCCCTTCTTCCTACATACATCCAATTTCCTTGGTCGGAAACGGCTCGACGTTGTGGTTCGAATTTGCCAAGAGGATAATGGCTTACGTCCAGGTAAGGCCGATCAGCCGTGCAGCACATATCGAATGGCCTAAAATAGACCGATTAGCCTCATCAGCGTTACATCCCAGTAAAAGATCGCCCGACCAGCAGATCGTCACCGTTGGAGGCACGTTCATCCAGGAACACACAAAATAAGATTGCTTACCATCTGAGGCTCATTGCAATGTGGATGTCTTTTTCTTTTCGCGGTCCATTTTCACGGCGCCTGGTCGGGCCGCAGCCTCGTGTTAGTGAAGTCATGCAGACAAGCGCGTGTCGCTTGGTAAATCGCTGCGTGCTCGCCTTGTTCAAAGAATTTAGCTTCAATTGCCTTGACGACTGCACGTCGCTAAGCTATTTGGCTTCGAGCATGGCAGTGCCGCTACGACTGAAGCTGTCGTCGAGCAACTTTTCGCATCGACGGGCGCTCAAGGAACGGAGCACGGGACCACGGCACTGTGCTGTCCATAAGGCGGCGGGATGTTTCGTCCGATGCCCAGTAAGGGTCCAGGGGCTCTACGGTGGTGCAGATGTGGGGCGGAACGGCCAGGGGCGCCGATGCAGTCATGCAAGGCACACAGCTCAGCCGCTGCCAAGTTTGCCCCAATCGACGAGAGAGCTAAATTTGGGTTGCCTAGCCCCCACAAGCCTCTCCAGTCCTCTTTGGGCATGCAGTATGCCGCGCTCCTGTAATTCAGGGATCGTGCCCGGGGCAAACTGCCGCTTTTCTCCAGCGCAGTCCAGACCAGCTCGGGTAATTGGCGGAATTCCCGTGGCGGAGCTGAACAGCGGAAGCTCGGTCAATGCGCTCATGTTGGGAATGATACCACCACAGGATTCCGACGACCATTTGGGAGTGACATCGCCCGGCGCGCCCACAGTACCATCTTGGCCCGAGCTGATGCCACACTCCATCGTCTATGTCGAAGTGCCTCCGTCCATCTTGCATCCCGGAATCGCGAGACAAGTATCAATTGAATCTTCTTTTCCCTCTTCTTCTCCTTTGTCTGATTCTTGATCCTGCGCCTTTCCTGTTATCTGAGTAAGACTTGTACGTTGCGATGCACCCATTGGAGGTCTCAGTCGTAGGGCAATGTGCTCCCTCAAGCGCCGCCTGCAATACATACGAAAGACGAACAGGGCTGATAAGCGGCTGTAGCACCCAGCCGGCGCTCAGTTCTGTTCTCACGTGTCGCTGTGGGTTGAATCGGCCCCAAGAACGTCCGTCCTTCATTATCAATTGTGTAATATATATGTGTGATCGCCTACAATTGTTTGTTTTGTAACGTTTGACGGCAGTTAGCGTAATAACCGAGGACGAAGTGCAGCAGTCGCTATGTATGGGCTCCTTGAGTACGCTTTACTCTCGGAGCTTGGAACACGGGCTTGATACATTAAGGGGAGGTTGCCGACTGGGCATATACACATGCACCTATAGCCCCATGAAGTGATGCTGCTAATGATCTATCTGACTATGTGGCACACTTACAGGGAGGGATAAGGTGGACCGCATGAGCCATCTTTGGGACCCCGGATCCCCATGGGCCAACTTCACGTCGACTATGGGCCGACGGCTACTCCTGCCGCGGCTGGAAGCTTCGAGTCTTATATTATATAACTACTACATTTTACCAAACCACGCGAATCATCCTATACCGCATGAATTATATAAAAAATAATGGTGAAACTCTCGAGAACCAATGCCGGGATTGCCGCAGTGCTCTAATTCCCATACAACAGGATCGAATTACCGCGTGTCCGCTTCACGACCGGACTCCACATACGGATCTACCGACGCACCAGTCAGCTCTGAAAATTTCTATTAGTGGCCCTACCCGCAAAGCCATGCCACGCCCGGCTGGCAGGGGCTCCGCCTCGTGCGGACCCAGCGGTAGTTATTATCCCCTGCCGCAGCCGCCCACCACGCGCGCCTACCTGGGCTCCATACATGTATGTGCGGCGAGATCACGGAGCCATCCCTTCTTCAAAGCACGTCGGACAAGTTCAAGATGACCTGCTGGACAGTGCCGGCGCCGTCACCCTGACACCCTGGAGGCTTGAGGGACTTTGCTAATGCCTTGAAAAGAGTCACTGTTTCTTTCGCGTCAATCATGACCTTGAGTATTTGAATGTATGCAAATTTGTCGGATCTTTTTTCAGGCACTGCCTGTAGCACCCAGCCAGCACAGCACCTGTAGGGAGTTTTCTTGGCGTCATACCTCTGCCATTGCGTGAACCGCTAGCGAAGGCACTTGATATCACCAATTACCTGGAAACTTGCAGACCGGTTGCGGACGGGCGAGAAACTCGAGGATGTTTTTACGCCAAACCCTAAGTTCGACAAACGATACTTGAGTCGAAGAGCCAGTGGTGCACAGTATCAGCTAGCTGGACTTCCACCTCTATGGACCCGGTCCTTTAAGGATGAGCGGTGGTCTAGATATCAGAACTGCTCGGTGCGAGCCGCATTCGACGAATTCGTCCAACAGATCCCACCACTTTAAACACGACGAAAATAGCATGTGTACCAGTGACGACTATTAGCACAGACGTATTGAGCGAAGAGAACTACTGTTTATCCACACGATAGGTGCTAGGGAGTTTATTAGAGCCCTTAACAGGATAGGTCGTGGATGCAGTTATCGGCACTATTATTCTAACCGCTAGTAAAATTGAAGTAGGAGTTAATAGTGAACTGGGCTATTAAATCCTCTAGAGGCAGCTACTGAGGTGGTATTAGTTGTTATATTTTACGGCGCGCTTTCGTTATTACTTAGATTATCCTCCGTTTATTGTAGCGACGGCTTTAGTTTAGGTATAGATAATTACAACGTCCAAGCAGAGCTAAGCAACTATCATACGAACCCATAGAAGTCGTATATCGCCATCTGTGCACTCCAGCGAAACTTGGAACGGATGCCGCACCTCGTATTGTCATTATCGAGGCAACCATAGCGACGCTCGCCCGAAACCGAAGGATGCCCCAGCCCCAACCGGAAGTCAGGTCATTACTGGAAAGAGGTGAATAGTAGTTGAATCAGAAGATAATGCCGGCTGCCGAAGTATTGAGCCAGAACATATCATCGATATCGAAATCAAGGTTGCTAAAATCGAACTGGAAGTTTAACTCGTTTACCGCGATTTCTTGTTGCCCAAGAATGTTACTGTCCGCTGGGCTCCCACTCTTGCCACAGGCTTCTGCATCATCCAGCGGTTGGAGACTCTCACCCCCACTGGGATTGTATAGCGAGGCAGAAGGAATCTTCGACGACAAGATACAAAGAGCTGCAACGCAGCGCTCGGCGGATTTTCCAACTCTAGCATATGCTTTCAACAGTTCGATTGCGCGGTGCCAAGATCTGTCTCCACGCCATGTGCGAGAGGCTTCTGGCCGGTCGTCTATTGGCCTAAGGCGTTCTGCTAAAAGAACAGTTGCGGCAGTGTAAACGACTGGAATCTATTAGCTGATCAATCTCACACCAGTCCCTACGAAGTTCACAAATCTTACACAAGACGGCAAACCACCACGCCGGCACCGGCCCGGTTACTGTGGTGAGGTCGAAGCGGCTGTACAACACGTCAATCATCTCATGAGCAGCCTCAAAGCAGAGCTCCGCCGACTTGACAATGAGATGCTGAGACAGACCCGCATCTTTGGCTGTCTGAACGTTCTTTAGATTGATCAGTTTCAGGTAGTAGTCCGCCAAGATTGGCCGCAGAACTACTATACGGGCTTGGAGGTAACTTCAACCCAACAATAGGTCAGCTTCGATACCCCTGCACAAGATGTGGCTGTCGATACCCACCGTGCACGCAACACGATGCGCTGGCGTTCGAATACCAGACGCTGGTTGCCCTCGAAATGCGCATACTGCAGGTGGTCCGGCAGAGATTGTCCCCATTTAAGTAGGCGATCGTCAAACTGGAGGACTGCGACGAGGTGATGTGTTTCTTTAGCAGCCATGTCGGTGGAACTCTGGTATAGCTCAAGAATGATGTCATTGATAATGTCGTATAGTTCGATTGTCTTCACGAAGAAGGCAACAATAGAAGGCTGTCCATCCGGCCGAATGGCGCTAGACACAGCCCGACTATCGAGATACTCATCATCGATCATTGAGGGCACCGGGACCTGAACCGTCTCGGGAAGCCAACTGGCAATCATGCTAGGTCTACCAAATGTCATTGATAAGACGCTAACGGCTAAGTGTCAACATAATGCGGCAATATCAATTTGCCTGCAACTTGGCATTAAGGCTCGCATACACGTACCGGTCCATATAAACGCATCCATGCCATACCCGTCGCGCAATCTCGACCTCTCGAGACCCAGGAACTTTCTTTATCGCGTTCGACAAATGGAGTCCCAGGCTCTGGGCCATTCTGATCGCAGATCCGATGGTCATCCAACATTCATATGTGTCGCAAGTGCTTTGCAGGTACAGGCCCATGAGCAGCATGCATTGAACTCGCTCGAGAGATGCACTGTCATGTGTATGAGGGCCAAAAAGCTTCCGTGCTCTCTCCCAAAAAGATTGACCAACCTCACGACGCTGGTCGGGCTCAATCGAGACGGAGAACTGGCTACCGAGAGCGAAGGCCATGTTCACCATGCAGTATAATGTTGCTTCGGGTATGACGGGTGATGCCCCTGTCCATAGATCACGATATGCTGCCTTGAAGGCGACCCAGTCATGGACAGGCAGGATGGACCACACGTAGTCGTAATAGCACTGCAACAGGTCATCCGCAACGCGGTGTTGGGGGAGAACGAAGTCACGTGGATCCTTCATCTGGCAGGTCCCCTGATTGCTGGTTCGCATGGGGCTTACGCCGTCAAGATCCCTGGATGCTGCCATTTGAGACTGGCCGAGCTGAGCATCTATGGCTGAGTTAATCTGCCTCAAGAACGACCCGGCACTGCTCCGTCCGAAGAATTCGACGCTCCTGGCTGGATCGCCAACCATGCCGGTCATGACGTCTGCATCGATGGATATTGCATCCTCATCTTTTGCGAGTCCCGCATCGGGTGGAGGTGCTGCTGAGCCGGGACTGGATGACTTGCTGTCGCCTTCGACTAACGCTTTAGAGAGGGCCAAAAGAGTCAGTGTCGTGCCCTTGACTCTGTGAGGAACTCACAGACCTGAAGCATGACCTATGGCAGAGTAAACGGATGGCGAAGGTTGCGACTGCGCTCCAGCTGACTTGGATGGTCGGCCGACGCGGCGCATGATTCTAGTGGAATACGTGCATGAAGGACCGTCTCTCTCGAGGCATGGACGGCAAGCTACTCGGTGGGGAAATGTCTCATCAATGCGGTGAGCAGCAATATGCCATGATGAGATAAGGGCTGTGAGGCACCTACAGGGTTGCTGGGCGTCGCATTTTATTTTTCTGCGGCGGCAGCTTTCGCAGGCTTTGGCTACCTTGAGACGTGGATGCATCGTGGGCGCGTGAGGTGTTTGGTGGACGCTGGGACAAATGGTCTGGGGAACACGCTGGAGTGCAGGAAACAGGCACAGCAGGGTTGCCCTGGCACACGAACCACCCCCGCAGGCGCGGGGTCGAGTCGATTACAAGTCCGCTTCCGACTGGTCACTGGACCCGGTCACTACCGGGATCAGGGCTTGACCCACCGTGGGTGGTACGCGACATGCCGTGCAACTTCGCGAGGTCACCGTCAGCAAGGCGTCAAATTCGACGCCAGACAGGGGACCTTCGGTATTAGCACCCGCATTCTACGCTCCCAGGCACTCACTGCTTCCGGCCAGACGTCATAAATATTCTGATCATATCGAGGAGGTGCCACGTTGATGAGTGCTCAATCAATCTCCGTGCAGGCTTTTGAGCTGCTGTCAATCTGTCTTGCATTTGTTTGGCAGCATTGTCACTTAGAAAGTAAATCTCCACGATGGATGGTCATCGCCCATATTGTCCAGCTCGTCAGCCTCATCCGTGAAACGATAGTCACGCCCCCCTCGCTCCCTAAGCTTGTTCTCGGCTTGCAGGCCCATGTAGTAACCCGTCGAAGCTAGACCACAGAGTATGAGAAAAGCCAGAGAGACGGAGACACCGGTCTTATACCCGGGTGCCTCACGAGCCAACCAGATATTGCTGCCAACAATGCCGCCAACATTTCCACCGCCAATGATCATAGCAGATGAGATGGCTCTCTTATAGTGTCCGCTTTGCTGATAGTGAGTTAGCCACAGCGCGTTCGCGGATCTCCCGGATGATGAAGTGGAGCATCAAAAGTGCATACTTGGTAGTTGACCCAAGCCAGTACGGTGGGCAAAGCGGTGAACGCAGTGATTGCAACGAGGAAGCAGCTCAGGTATCGTCCCGCAGTCGACACTCTTAGCCCGGCGAGCATGATGCCAAAGCCTGCAATACCGGGCAAGAGTGTTAACATAATGACGAGATACCGACAACGATATCGGTCGGTGAGCCAAGCGCAGATCAATGAGACGACAGTCGCGGCGAGATAGACAGGAATCACCCGCAGCTGTGCCTCAGCTGACGAGTACCCCATCTCCTGTTTTGCTGACATTTAGAACAGCGGAATAAGGGAATCTCGAACATTGTCAAATACCTTGATTACGGTTGGTAAGAAGAAGGACATGGAATAAGTGCTTGTGACGACGGTTAAATGCATACTGTTCAACTGTCAGCCTTGGTGCTCGAGGATCCTCGAATGAACGAGCCGGCGCTCACAAGATGCCCAAGTAAATCTTCCAATCTTTGAGAATGCGGCGAACCGCTGGTCCGTCCAGCCTGTCCATTTTGGCGGCACCGCCCGCCGAATCTGCCGCCAGCTTGCGAGCCAGTTGGGTCTTTTCTTCAGCCGACAAGAACTTGGCTTGATCAGGCCAGTCGACCAGCCAGAACTTGGAGACAACCCCCACCAAGACAGTAATGATGCCTTCGATGATGAAGATCCACCGCCTGTGGCAGCGAGTCCGCTTTTGTGTCAAACAGCCTGGAAATCCTAATGTTCGGGGTAGCAATGCTTACCATCCTTCATAGTTGCCAACACCATCCAGCTTGGCAAGTCCAAAGGCGAAGATCTGTATAGCGGCAAACATCTGTCAATACTGCTGTCGCGCAAAGGAAGTCACAATGTCAGAGTCGTGACTTACACCCCCGAAAGCGCCTGCGATGATAATGGCAGAAACAAACAGACTGAATCGCCACTGCAGCTCGTATCTGGCGTAGTATGCTGACATCAAATATGTTCCCCCAGGAAATAGGCCAGCCTCGAAGACCCCAAGGACGAGACGCAGTCCGACCAGACCGTGAAAGTTTCTCACGAGCCCTTGTCCCACGGTAGTAAGGCCTGCAGTAATCACGGAGGTCAGTGCCGAAATCTCCGTTGATGAGCGTTGGTTGTGCGCGAGGAATCTTACCCCAACCCGTGATGATGAAGCTTAGCCAAGTCGAAGGTGGCAACCGCTTGAGAATTAAATTGCTTGGGACTTCGCACAAAATATATGTGATGAAGAATACAAAGAGGGCAATGGCATAGTCTTGTCCTTTCATGCTGAGCGATTTCTCGAGCCCTTGAATCTTTGCGTTGCCGATGTTCGAGCGGTCCAAGAAGGACATGAGGAAGAGAACGAACAACGGGGGTATGACTCTCAGGTCCAGTTTGCGGAGGAGCCTTTTCTCGTTGACCGTGAACTGAAGCTCATCCTCAACTTCGTGAGTCGGCTTTGCCTCCAGAGAAGGGCTCGGCGGCCGTTTCTCGACAGCAGAGCCAGGGGTGCTAGCCATGTTGGATTTGCTAGAGTGTGATAAGAGACCGTGGCAGTGACAGGTTCATCTGGCAGCCGTGATCAAGCGCGACGTGAGTTTTCTACGTTTTTGTTTGATCAGGGCGCGCCGCAGTTATGCGTGTCTTCTACATGGCTGGGCGTACTGTACTGTAGATGAGTAACACAATATGGGCGGGACTGTAGCGCTCCGAGTCTCAGATCTGGGAGCAGGTCAACTGGGTTCCAGATGCTATCGCTTGGCGCGAAGGCTGGCCAATTAGTAGCAGATCCGGAAAATGTTGACTCGGCCAACACAACGACACGGCGCAGGTACCTCCGCACCTCTCGCAGTCAAAGAACAGAAATGTGTTGTTCTGGCGGCATTCACGATGGAACATGAAGCCAATCACGGCGCGGCTATTTGATCGGCGTACGTTGCCTACGACACCACCGTCGCCCTGTCGGTGACTTACTTGTGGGGTGGCGGCTTACACTGACCGTGCTACGCGAACCGTTCTCGGCTGAAAGGGTCAACCGTGGACAGGCGAAGGATTAGGAGAAGATGGAGAACAAGAACAAGACTATCACCCCACGTCCCGTTTAATGGGAACTACAGTATATCTGACCACTACTGCACAGTTCCATTTGGAATCCTCATATCCATTTCAGGTTGATAGCATTACCGTACAGCGTGTCAGTGATGTGCAGGGTCCGTGGCGAGTCTGGGCACCCATCCATGGAGGCGGAGGCATTCCCCGAATCCCCGCAAAGCACCCTGGAGCTCTCCGAGACGCTGCAGGCCCTGGCGGCGAAGCTGTGGCCCAATTATTTTAACGTCCGTTGACGGATCATTTTGCAATTGGCACCAGTCACGAACGGCCCACCCTGCCAAGTGTGTGGTGAGTGAGCGACCAAGACCGCCACCAACCGAGAGTAAAATTGATCTGTACCACCCCAGCCCAGGTTCCTCAGCGCTACCCGAATGGCTGTGGCACCCGTCCATGTCCTGCAGCCCCGTGGCCCGCGGGTACGCCTCCACGTTTCGCATCCGTCCACCCTGTACAGTACCAGGGGGCAATTGGCTCCGCGGAACTTGGCGACTCTGATTCTGCGCAAACGGCCCGGACAGAGTGCATCGGGAATGGGTCGGCCAATGGTCAAATCGTCCGTCCCGACGCCGCGCAGCGGGGCATCCTGGGCCGGTGACTTGGACGGCACCCGAAACCGACATGACAACCACCCACCACAGCAATAGTGGAAGCGAGTAAAGATCGATCGAGCGTGGCGGCCCAGGCAAGCTCATACAAAGTATAGCAGTCTGGCTAGACAGTCAGGCATCTTGCAAGTACAGTACGTGCGCCAACTCAATTGAAGAATCTGAGCTTCCGTCAACACGGACATTTCTCACCCACTCCCACTCAGTATCCGCCAACAATCACCAGAATGGGCCCAGCAGGAACGACACCTACCGCGATCAACCCGGCACCCGCCCCAAAGCTCAATGGCCACCCTTTGCGCCCGAAGGAATATTTCGATAAGCGAGCAACGCAGGAAATGGAGCAACACCTCCGCATCCCAGAGCGCACCCTTCAAGAAACGCTGGCCTGTGCCTGCAGGGTGATTGCATCGAAGCAGGAGGACGCAGGGCTCGCGGGCCAGATCTCAGCCCGCTCGGATCGAGGCGAAGGCTTCTACTGGACTTTGCGCTTTGGTCTTGGCTGGGACGAGGCCACACCCGACGACTTCATTGAGGTTGACGGAGACCTGAATACCATCACAGGAACTGGCATGCCCAACCCCGCAACCCGATTCCATCTGTGGGTGTATGCGGCACGACCCGACGTTAATAGTATCGTCCATGTCCATTCCCCATGGACGCAGGCACTTGTTGCCGCCCAACAGCCGCTTGTGGTCGCCCAAATGGACATGACTCCCTTCTATGGCGATTGTGCCTTCCTTGCAAAGTGGCCAGGGGTGCCTATTGCCGACCATGAGGGCGTCATCATCACAGAAGCCCTGGGCGACAAGCGTTCTATTCTTCTCGCTCACCACGGAATGTTGACTGCCGGGAAGTCTGTTCAAGAGGCCGCGTATTTATGCGTGTATTTGGAGCGCGCAGCCCGAATTCAGGTCCGGGCAGCCGCATTTGGACCGCTGAAGGAGGTGGATGGCGAACTGGCCGCGGAAGCGGGGACTTATCTTCGACAGGACAGGATCGTCTTGGCGACGTTTGAGTATTGGTACCGCCAGACCAAGTCTTTCAAACCTTTGTCGATTTAATAAATGATATATAGAGAAGCATGTACATCGGAACCGATGAATTTGCCAGATATAAGCTGCAGTGCGAGGAGGCTCTACGGTTCTGCTTGCCTTGCGCCCCGTCGTGAGCCAACACATGCAATGCGAAACTTGGTCGATGCACTTTGCCGTTTATTTGAAGCATGCATTCCTTTGTGGGATGCCTATCCATCTATCCCATGGGCCGCGCAATCGCAGAAGTTGAGTTCGGTGACAGTTGGAAGAGCTCGCGATTCTTGACTCGGCTCGGTTGGACGCTAGTGATGCAAACCATGCGAACATGTCACTGTCTTTGGTGTTCCCTGCAAGCCGCTTTTAGACCACTTAGAAAATTCGAAAATTAATGATGCGAAGTCAGTAGAGCCCCCACTAGATTGGGGGGACTGCTTTCTATGAAATAGGAGATGAGTAGGACTTGGTCTAGTTCGTATCTGTACGCTCGCCCTGTTCGCAACTCGAACGACCAATGACTGACATGTGGCAGCAATTGATCCAAAAACGGGTGAAAGATGCATTAACTGTAATTTCGCTTCCTGAAAATGTTCGCAAAAGGTTTCTGATGCGTCCAAAAATGTAACATCGGAGGTCACACCTCACGAGCCGGCACGCGACCATCCAAGCGTAACTTATACTTAAAGGTGAGCAGGTCCTGCAAATCCAAGATCCCTCCCACATTTCGCATCATCGTTTACTACGTCTTCAAAGAAGTTAGTGCGACAATGAGGTTCGCGACGATAGTCCTCTCCATGCTCATTGTTGCAGCATCGTCTATGCCTATGCCTCCTCCAGAGCTTTCAAGGCGTAGATTTGGCTCCGTTCTCGTTGGACCGATAGCCGAAGAGGCAATCAAGACGGGTGTAGCAATTGGTGGGAAGTCGGTGGCGGAAGCAGCTGCAAATACAGCAATCACGCACGGCGTTCTCCGAGCGGCCGCTGCGACGGTTGCTTACCCATTTGCAGTCTACAGGATCGGCAAAGCTGCTAAGGAGGGGGCTTTTGACGGCTTCGGGGGCGAGAAGACCGCGATTGGAGAGGCATGGAAGGTAACGAAGCATTACCTTGGCCTGGCCCCCCCTCGTCGCCCTAGTCTAGAGGATATAGACAAGCTGGTAGAACATTCGAGATCCTCGGCTTCAGGCCTCGTGGGACCTACAACAAAGTCTCCGGAAAAGCCGAGCAAGGCCAGCCTTGAGAAATGGGTTCTCAGCTGCAAGGCAAGTCTCGGATCATTTCTGCAGCGGAATAATGAACGCTAATAAGCCTCTAGCCTTGCTCAAGAACCACGCCGAAAGGCCAGATGTGCGGCACTCGCTGTGAAACCGTGTTGGCACTTCTGGGATGAGTTCTTGGGTGATTTTCATTCTCGATGCGAGTATTGTGTATGTGCTGAGCACATACTTCTCTACTCATGAGTATACCTGGTTGAGAAATACTACGTCACTTCGTCCTCAAGTCCTGACACACAGAGCTGAGGAGGGGATTCGTACACGCTGCTGGGAATTTCTACATCACATGAGTTTATCTCAGTGGAAGAACAAAGTAAAGAGAGACAGACAAGTCCATTGCATATCTATCACAGCTTGTACTTGACGACCGACCATCGCGCAAGGCAGAGGAATTGGTTCTCTGGTCAATCACTGCACAACGCACGATGAACCGCCCAACTTTTTCCTGAGCCATGGTATCTCGTCCAGAGAGTATCGGTAAGCTCTAAACAAAGCGTTGGACTCCCCGGGAAAGATCTTGGCAGTGACATGGTCCGGGTACGGTGCGAAATGGGGGTTGACATACTCCCAGCAGACATATCCTTCCTGCGTTACCTCAAACACCCTGCCAAATGCGCTCTCACACAACAATGTATTTCCGTTGGACAGTCTTTGTGCACTTCCCATGAACGGCGTGAAGAAATTGTGCATCTGAGACTTGTCGCGGTACTCCCACACAATCTTCTTGCTGTGTCTGGAGATCTCAACTGCCCTGGTATACGTGACGGACTCCCCAGTTCGAAAAGCTCCATTGTCAAAGATGAGGATGTTTCCATTCTCCAGTTCGGTTGCGTTATGTTGCTGCGCAAGCACTTCCGGGCCGACTTTCCAGACGATATTGCCTGTCGACTTCTCAATGATGACCACCGCAGACACGGATCTCATCGACGCGAGAATATGCTTTCCGCCCCGCATTGGGAGGACCGAGTTGATCAAGGGATAGTGCTCACGTGTGTAATGAGGCTGGAGGGGATATTCGTCTCGTGGCAGCCTCTCAGAGACTTTCCACTGCCAGACCAGTTTCCCTTCCGCATCGACTTCGTTGATTGTGTCCGTATAAGTGATCCCGTCAATCTCGGTGCCGGGGACGCCTCCGATGACTTTTGCGGAGTCTTCAACGGACAGGGGCTCGAGACCCGTATACAGGAGCCGACCGTCTCCAAAATGAAACTGGTCATGGTGGCCAAGGGGATCCGTGAATTGTCGAACCACATTGCCGTCAGGGTCTAGCTCGCTCATGATCCCGCCTCCATACTTATTGAAGAATGGGAATGGGAAGGGGCCTCCGTCTTTTGTGGTCTTAGAGGGTGCGGGGCGGAGTGTGTTGACTGCAAGATTGCCGTTGGGGAGGAGGCGAGCATGCCGGCCAATTCTCCCGGGAAGCTTCCAAGAATGAACTTCATTGCCGTCGATATCAACAAGATGGGCAACGTCGCTCGTCAATGGGCAGAACAAGGTATAGCCGCCAAAAGATCGTTTCTTGTCGACGCCTGTGAGGCCGATGCGTCGGCGCTTCAGTGTGTTCTGTTCCATGTTCCGATGACAGCGCCGGAAAATCTCGAACGTTATTTGTCTCCGATAATGACACAACACAGAATGCGTTTTCAGAATGTATTAGGGTGAACGTCGAGCTTTATTCACGTGCTCGGGCGATTTGAGGCTCTTCAGAAGCTCCAGGCCGCCGGCATGCCCATGGCCCCACCATGTGCCGACGGCATGCCGACGGCGCAGTCAGCCAACGAAGGCGCCATCGCAATCTGGGCCAGGGTCTAGTGGAGCAGGTCGCCCTGTCATAGGCTGGCCCCTATCAGCACGCCATTTATCGACTTCATGGTATCTTCACTTACAGATGTTCCGGTCACGACGGTTCCAAGAGAGTTGAGCCGTATCAGCAATGAAGCAGACGTAGGACGGGTATAAGACTGCAGCGAGAACAGTAGTCGCATCATGACGGATGGATTTCGGCCGCGGTTGGTTTCACCTGGCCTACCCATGGGATCTCAGAACATGTCATACGTCCCCACGGAGTCGCCAAGATGAACACAGGTCCCGATAATGCTTCACAGGGCGACGAAAGCCGGCCAGGAGCCAGTGTGGCCTCGAAAGAGTCCATTGAAGTTCCCGGGTATGACCCTCGGCTTGAAATTCAGCCCAGAGAGAGCCGGAGGGCAGTGCTCAAGGTCGACTTTCTCATCATGCCCGTCATTGTGTTATGCTTCTGTTTCCTGCAGTTCGACCGCACAAATATCGGCAACGCCTTGACAGACACCCTTCGGAAGGACATCAATGTGGATAACTCGGACATCAACCTTGCGCAAACCCTCTTCACAGTTGGTTTTATCATTACCGAGTTGCCCTTCAATCTTGTCAGCAGATATGTCGGGCCAGAGCGATTTCTTCCCATCACCATGTTTCTTTGGGGAATTGCGACTTGGAGCCAGGCCTTCCTGCGAAACGGAACGGGCCTCTGCGTCGCCAGGTTCTTCATAGGTGCATTGGAGGGCGGTTATATCCCCGGATTCGCACTTTACATTGCGAAGTTCTATACAAACGAGGAACTGGCACTTCGTTATGCTTTATTTTGGGCCTCGAATAGCGTTGCTGGCGCACTGGGCGGGCCCTTGTCTCTGGGGCTGATCTCACTCGGTGGCCGAGGAGGTCTTAAAGGCTGGCAGTGGTTGTTCATCATCGGTAAGTTTGTCAATTCTTATCAACGCAGTAAGCGGCCGACTCGCTGACTTGACCAAGAGGGAGTCTTGACCTGTGTCCTCGGAGTCGCCGCCTACATATATCTGCCGCATGGCGCGGCTGAGCCGAAGACATTCTTCGGCAAGTCCGTCTGCCTGTTCAGTGACCACGAAGCATCCATCATTGTCACCAGAGTCATCAGGAACGACACCAGCAAGGCACATCGATATCGCAAGCCGGTGTTGCCTTCCCATATTGTCGAAACGTTTACTGACTGGAGACTGTACGGCCATCTTGTTGCAGCCCTGCTCTCCATGGTTATGATTGCGCCTATGAACACCTACGCACCGTCCATCATCAAGTCACTCGGCTTCACTGCCCTTCAAGCAAACGGGCTCAATTCCGTGGGCAGTGTTTGCGCGTTGATCCTCTCTGTGTCACTAGCATTTAGCAGCGACAAATTCCACGAGCGCGGGATACATATTGCCGTGGGGTATTCGTGGGGAGCCGCAGGTCTTTTGTGGCTCGCTTTGGCCCCTGGAAGCGTTGGGAAATGGGGCCTCTATGGTATGAATTACTTTCCCCGCTATGAAATGAGAAGGTCTGACAACCGTTCACTAGGCGGCGTCGTGTGGACGCAGATGGGCATGGGATGTGCTCAAGCAATCAGCGCAGCGTGGCTCGCAACCAAAATGCAGGACTACAAACGCCCGATAGCACTAGCCGCCTATGTGATGAGCATTCAGCTCGCCAACTTCCCCGGCAACCAACTCTTCCGACAACAGGGTATGCTGAACAGGCCTTGCGGGAGACTCAGATTGCTGACAGGACACGCAGATGCTCCCAGATACAAGCGAGGCTTGATTATCGCCGCTATTTGTGCCCTTGCCGCTTCGGTGGTAATTCTTGTCTGGAAATTGCTGTATCGGATGTTTGACAATGGGGATGCGGGTGTGGAAACACGTCAGGACGTCGAAGCTCACCAGGAAAATTCGGAATTTAAAGTCTAGAGGCGACTTGAACGCATACAGCCGTTGGCAGTTTTCGCGATAAATAAATTAAAAAGCCCAACGAAATTTATCTGTGACTATCAGGGTTGACAACTGCTCATAGCTCACATCTAGTATTCAGGAGATGCCAGTCGCGATATTTCAAGTCATGCGAGGAAGTAAGGCCTGTCTCGGGTGAAGCTCATCCGAGTCTAGGGTATCATTTTAATGATGGCGACTCTCGGGTCCCGCTTGTTAGAATCGGGCTTTAGTCGATGTCCGTCAAACGGCTAGTTCATATCGCGTCACGGAGGTCTTATCACGTGCCATGACGACATCCGTTATCAGGTAGGGTGATTGGTCTCTGGTGACTACGGTTAGTTATGATAGGCACGGCATGCGCTGTAACTTGCTGAGTTCTCGTCAACGCCTGCACACGTTTCACAGAAATGCTGCCGTAACTCATCGAGAACTATGCCTCCTCTCCGACCTGGAAGAGCTTCCAAAGCGTGTGATCTCTGTCACAAGTACAAGACGAGATGTTACGTATCACAAGTCAATGGTGGTACCTGTCTCCGATGTGAGACACTGTCTCAACCATGTTCCCTCCAAGGGTCGCCGCATTCCAGGGCGTCAGGCTATGAGCATCGTCCAGACTTCCGTAGCCCTGCGACGACGAGCAACGATGCTTCCGTATCGGAAAGGTAGGTGAGAGGCGCATACTCCGACTGAGAGAAGCTGTCGCGACTGATTACAGCCCAGTACAGGCTCGCACGTCTTGAGACAGCGATGCAGACTGTTGTGCAACGTCTTGATGCCAATTCGGGGGGCCTGGCTGTGGCAAGGCATACGCCCACCGTGGCAGTAGTGGCTCGTCAAGTTTCGCCGGAACGCAATCGGGCTCCTGTGTTACTGATTCGAGACGCCACGACTGATGCTGGGCTCACAACGCCCCAATCCTACGATGAGGGCATCGACAACGCGGGATGGAGTATCATCGCTAGCGGACTGATGACAACATCAATGGTCAATTCACTCATAGCACTGTTAGTATACGACCCTCAGCGATCTCAGTCTTCTCATACTTACGACGGACAGGTTCCATGAGAATTATGGCCGATGGGTCAGGTTCCCGCAAGATCTATCGACTGTCATGCTCCAATTGCAGACCACAAAATCACGCTTGCTGCTCTATAGTGTCCTGCTCATCGCCGTGAGGCACAAAACCCAGGAACTTGCTGATCAACTGGCCCCGAAGCTGTTCCACGAGGTGAAGAGGCTGTTACAACAGGCAATGCTTGCGGCCGACCAGCCCATAGAGTTTTTTCAAGCTGTCGTTATTCTAAGCCTCTGGTCATCTACCATTGGGCAACGTCCACTTAGCATCGACAGCTGGCTTCTGACAAGTCATGCCTTCGTGCAAGCAACGTCAAGTCCCGCTATCGCGCACATTCTTCAGCCCTCGTACCAGCGAGCCACATCACGAGAGTGCGACCTGGATGTCATATATATATGGAACCATCTCTGCGTGGCACACCTACAGTCTGTGGATCACTCGGCCATGTCCTCAAGTGTCAATCTAACAGTTGCAGATATTGCGTTGTACTACAGCGGCAGTCATTCCTCAACCAGGCCCAGATCGATCAGTGTCTTCGGATGGCAGAAAGCGATCATGTCACAAACTACGAGGCTCGAATGGCTGCGGAGGTGCAGCTATACTGGATCATTTATCAGGAGTCCTGCAAAGGTCAAGCGGCTATGGAAAACACCAATGATGCACTACAGAGTTGGAAGCAACGGTGGGCTGCATTGTTCAGTGAGCTACACAGAGCACCTGTCAACGCTGGCGTTGTCACACACTGACCGTTCAGACCAACAACGTTCGCAGTTCTTGCAAATGGGCTTTTACTTTGGACAGTTACTAGCAAGCCATCAGACGCTGTGTAACGCCTCCACCAGCCCCAAAAGCTCTATACTTGCAGAAATGGTCCACCTCTGCAAGACTATTATAAATCTGGCCATCGAAACGGCAGATGAACGGACGCGACACCTGACAGACCACATATACCACATCTTAACCTTCTCCGCACTCACGCTTACACAAATTCTCCACACGTACGAGTCAAACCTTCAGGCTGCGGGGCATGACATTGCCGCTCTGGATGAGCTCGTCATCAAGCTGGCAAACTGGCTGAAGTCAATTGGCCTTCGGTGCCATATCTCACACATGTTTAGCCAGACGCTTATCATGAAGGTCAAAAAGCTCAGAAATTGTTCCATCTCCGATGGGATAATCGGTGATGCGGCGCTCAAAGGGTCTGAACTGGCTGCTGCGAGTGGACAGGATGAATGTCATTCCGATATCACTTTTTCTTTTCCCGACTTCATAGACTCCGAGCTTTTGAGCATGGTTACAAACACTGATGGCTGGCCTCAGTGGGACTCAAATTGAGTGCTCGGCAGACATATTGCTTGCCCGGAGAAAATCGCGTCGATAGCTGCGAACAAGAACTGTCCTTGATTGGCCTGTCGGGACTTGCCGTCAATGAAACACGTTCTGCTGCTGATGTCTGGTCCCTAGTGTGGCCCAACGTGATAAGCTTGTCTTAAGATTCGCACCGATCGCCACTGCAAGAATGGCTGCAGCCCCACCTTGAGGTCTTTTTGATCACAGTGCCAGTCGAGAATGAACCTGGTTTCCATTGCTGAAGCCAACACCGAATGGGCTGCAGGGGTGCGCTTCTTGTGATACCGGCTAGGTAACGGGCAAGGCTCGATTCGCGCCTAAAACGCTGGGTTTGGAAGCTTGAAATCTCTCCAGTCCTGACCTCTGGGCCATTCCCTGGCCGTGGCATAGTACCGGATGACATTCTGTTTCGGGCCTCGGTCCTTACCGGAACTCTACCAATCTACCTCTGTTGTCCCTTTCGTGCCGAGGCTTTTACGGCAGTTCCGCCCCACACAGATCGGGAAGCCAAGCAAGGGGATCCCTGGGCGCGGGGTAATAGCGTGCCACCAGACGCGGGGAGATGCGGAGGCGGCTCCAAAACCAACTTCGGAACCCCTGTCGGGCTCCTTCGTGGCACAAGTACAGCGCTACAGGGCACTTTACGCCACTCATGGCCAAAACGCCCCCAGAATTCAGATGGTGCCTTACCCGCGGCTACCGGATACCTTCTCAAACCTTGTTTTGTGGCCCTAACCATTGTCGCCGGGAGCAGCAAAAGTAGCGCAGTGGCTTGTCTTCCTGTCAATGACGTCCCAAAGAGGCAATACCATTTGACCACTCCTTCGTCATGGCAAAGCCAATTGCCGTCCTTTAGCAGTCACGGCAGGCCATTTGTGTTGGCTATTGTATCACGTTTGACAACATGTCTCGCCTGGACACACAGTACTGCATAAACGACCGAATTCGCCGTATTTATTTAAAGACTGTACCAGCAGCATGGCCCTTTCCACCGCCCGAACTTGGACCTGCTTCATCACTCTACGTTGAAAAGCTGTTGTGGAATTTCCATCCATCTCGCCCAGAAACATCCCTGAGAGCATCAGACCGCAATGGCAACGAACAGCGTCCCGGCTGACGACCTAGCCAAAGGCATCATCCCTACGGCCAAACAATCTTTGCGCGACCTCTTCGTCTGGAAGAAACGAGTGGTTACGAGCAACGATCAAGGCGAATCGCATTGCGAATGGCAAGAGCTTGATAGCTTTGTCAACCCAGTCAGCCTTCTTGCCCAGCTGTCTTTTCATGATTGGGTCTTCTTCCTCGTTGGTTGGGCTGCTTGGACCGCAGATGCCTTTGACTTCCATGCCCTGTCTATTCAGACAGTGAAACTGGCCAAGTACTACGGCCGTACGAAGACCGATGTTACAACAGCCATTACACTCTCCCTATTACTACGCTCAGTTGGCGCTGCTGTGTTTGGCCTGGCAAGTGATAAATGGGGGCGCAAATGGCCAATGGTGGCCAACATGATAATCCTTGGGGTGCTACAAATCGCAACCATCTACAGCAAAACGTTTTCGCAATTCCTGGCTGTACGAAGTTTGTTCGGTCTTTTCATGGGTGGAGTGTTTGGCAACGCAGTTGCTATGGCACTCGAGCATTGCCCGTGAGTTCAATGTTCCATTCCGACTGACCAGTTCGACAAAAGCTGCAACACATGCTGATCATACACGTCTAGAGCAAAGGCACGCGGTATAGTATCCGGCATTCTACACCAAGGATACTCTCTAGCGTATGTTTTTGCCGCGTGTGCGAATCTGGGCGTTGGCGGTGGGGTCAATACCTGGAAGACAGTCTTTTGGATTGGCGGCAAGTTTTACAACACTAATATAGAGAGGCTCATACTGACACATATCTCAGGCGGCATCTCCATTGGTGTGGGAATTCTACGCATGTTCTTCCCTGAGTCAAGACAATTCGTCGAAGCCCACAGGGCCGCCAGCAACAGAACGTCTGGCGGGGCGTTCTGGAGACAAACCAAGCGCATGCTTGTACAGGAGTGGCGAATATGTGTCTACTGTACCTTCCTCATGACGTGGTTCAACTTTTACGCCCACACATCCCAGGACTCATACACGACATTCCTGCTTACGGAGAAGGAGCTCGACAATGCAGGAGCCTCTCGTGCTTCTATACTCATGAAGACAGGGGCTTTTTTCGGTGGCACAACGATTGGGTACCTAAGTCAGTTCATTGGCCGACGAAGATCAATCGTTATTGCCATAACGATTTCGGGGCTGCTGATTCCTGCATGGATTCTACCGCAAGGAGAGAGGGCACTCAGTGTCACGGCCTTCTTCATGCAGTTTTTTGTCTCCGGTGCTTATGGCGTTATCCCTATTCACCTGAATGAATTGTCACCCATTGGCTATCGCGCGACATTCCCTGGAGTAACCTATCAGGTCGGCAACATGATATCCTCTCCAGCGGCGCAAATTGTCAACGCGATCTCGGAGAAGATATATATCAGGTCAAAATCCGGCCACTCTGTTGAGGCATACGGACCGGTCATGGGTATTGCAAGCGGCATTATTGCGCTTGGCATCGCTGTTACTACTATGCTGGGTCCAGAAAAGCACGGAAAGGAGTTCGAAGAACTTATTTCGGGCACGGAAGACCGTTCTCTCAGCAAGGCTATGGACATCGTGGAAGAAGAAGAAGTCGTGGACATCCCTACATCTGCCCAGGGGAAGGCAAAGTAATGGTACGCGGATTAGGTGTCCTGAGATGGGAGCAATCGCCTTCTCAATATAGAAACGCAGGGGAAACTACTAAATGCTGTATCGGAAACCCATGTCTTGCTCATCGGTGAGGTCTGAATCGAGTGACAACCCCCTTTGCATCCCTTCCGCCTCGATCGCGGTTTGGTATCGCTCACCGTGGGGGTGCACGGCAAGGGCGTCCCGCTTCTTGTTGATTCTGGTAACTATAAAGAGATACAAAAGAAGAAGAATAATGAGGCATATTAAGCTGACAATGGACAGAATGCAACCTTTGATGTAACGTGGTGCATCATTTTCCGTCCAGGCGAGAGGCGATACTAAGAAAGTCAGGCATCTCGGAAAATGCAGTCGGGGTTAAAATACGCTTACCTATGGCCCCGACGCAATAGCTTATAAAGAAGCCGACACTGACGATAGATTTCTTGGTATTCCCTTTGACATTTGACGCCACGAGAGCTGTGACACCGCAAAATGGCGCTGAGACACTGGACGCCAGCCATGTAGCCGCAACGATGGCCCAAGCATTCCCGTTACGGACGGGGACAAACAACAGAACGACAGATCCCGAAAGTTGAACCAGTGCGAGAAAGATCGTTGTATATATGCGCGAGTTGGGAAATATGCGAGGGCCGAGAGCGGACACCCAGATAGCTGCAAAGCTGATGGCACCGCTAGGAGTTCCAAGAAGCATTGTGTAGAATTTGTCGTAGCCAAAGCCGTTTATAATCTGAGACGAGAACTATTCCGGTTGACTTAGCATTGGCGATGCTCTGATATGGAGAGCGTTGTAGTCCGTCTAGGAGGAAAGCATACCTTGAGAATTGGAGCCGTGAGCATGACGCAAATAGCAAAAGCAAAATAAAACCATATTAGCGGTGACTTCAACGCTTCCCACATCTAAGCCTTGTTAAATTCTAAACGCTCTCGCGTAGATCGGTCGATAGCAAGGCGCCGAGTAGCTAGCTCGCGTAACTCTCCCCTCTTTTCCCCCCATCTTAGCAATAACTATTAAGGAATTTACCGATATAACCGCAAACCTACTATTAACGCCGCTTAATACTAACTTTAATATTACGCTATAAGCGGCGATAGCGCCCTTAATAGCCCTAAATCCGCTATTCGAGCCGCTATTACTACCCTTACCGTTTAACTTAGGCCTAGTAACGCTAGTATAAAAATAGGCCCGGTAAGCTATCTTATACGATATATCGCGTAAAGATATTATAGATATCCTAACCTCCTAGCCCACCTCCTAGCCCGATCCTTACCGTACCTATATAGACGCGAGTAGCCCGTTAAGGGTTACCTTAAGACTAACCTATATAGCTAGAGAGTCTATATATAACTATAAGAAGCCTATAGAAATATAAATCGACTTAAACCCCTTTATCGATATATAAGCCTAGAACCCTATTACTATATAATAAGACGTAATAAACCTAATTAATAAATATTAAATACGTATAGATATAAAACTTATAGTCCTATAAGTATTTATAGCTACCTTTAATTAAATAATAAAGATATTTATTAGCGGCCCTTAATGCTATCTCGTAAAAGACTTCTCTATAAGCTTTATACGCTATTAGGATTTAATCCTAGCTAGCGACCATACTAAACCCTTCTACCTATCTCCCCTTAAGCGTATAGTTATATTTAGTAATATTAATAATAATAATAATATTAATAATAATATATTATATATATTAATTATATATTAAGGTATTAATAGCTAGACTATTACGCTACTAAAGGTAAGTATATATAGCTTAGATAACTAAAATACTCTAATAGCGGCCCTTATTAAAGAAGACCTTAGAGTTTTTATTCGACTCGACTTTAATACCCTATAGAATATAGCCCTATATACTATCTATCGCTATATTATATAAGAGTCTAGACTCGCTAAAAGCGAGATCCTAAGATATAATATAATTAAGACCGGCTAGGCTATCTACGCTACTATAATAACTATATAAGATAAAGTCCTTAAAACCGAAATATAATAAGGACTAAAAATTAAAGCTATTACTATAGAGAGGCCTATAAGATAGCATTACTATATAGTCTAAAGGGTACTATAAGTCCTCTATACTATAGAGGGTAAAGTAGTCCTTTAAGAAGAAGCTACTTATAATAAAGTACTCCTCTAAATTAGGTAAAGACCCCTATAGATCTATATATCTTAGTATGATAACTTTAATAAAGGCCTAACTCTTA